TCTCAGACATTATGTCACAGCGAACCAGGACAATTAGGTGGATTTACTTGATGTAGCCCAATTCAGTTATAACCTCCAACAGAGCTCTTCCACTGGAATGAGCCCATTTGAGTTGGCAACTGGCTAACAGCCTCTTACCTCGCATGAAGTTGTCAAGCAAAAGTCTCAAGGGAGATGTCCTGCAATATACCGCTTTGCTCGGGCCAATCAGGAGTGAATCGACGAGGCAAAAGACTGTTTAACTAAAGCGGTGAAAAGGATGAAAAAGTGGGCAGACGAGAAGAGGAGAGCAGTAGAGTTCGAAGTAGATGACAAAGTGATGTTGAAATTGACTCCACCAATCTGGAACAAGATCTCTCGAAAGTCTGCACACAAGGGACTAATCCAGCGCTATGACAGCCCTTTCCTTATAACAATGAGGATTGACAGGTTGGCCTATAGACTGGATCTTCCCAGTCGTCTCAAGCTTCATCCAATTTTCCATGTTGCCTTCTTGAAGCCTTATATTGAGGACCTGGAGGACCCTAACAGATATGTTCGGCGTCAGGCTCCTCCGACAATCAGGAAGTAATTCATAGAAATAACTGAAGCTATCCTTGACCACAAGACTGAGGGAATGAGTAAGAAAAACAGAAGAACTCATTACCTAGTCAAGTGAAAAGGGAAAGCACCGGAGGAAGATACTTGAGAGAAAGAGACGACATTATGGTAGTTCGAGGATCTCATCAAGCAATACCATGCCTCTATTCCAACAAGATTGTTGGATACTTCAGGTGGGGATGGCTTGTCACACCCTAACTGACTTGGGTGTAAATGGCCGATCTTGCTGGCACCTTGCACCAAGGCATACTATAAGTTGGAATCAAGGTGACGCGGCTAAGTGGTTCGACAGATTGGGGCGAACCAAGGCAGCATGAGACCACCCAGTTGAGCATGACAGCACGTGGTGGGCTCAATTGAAGCAATGTGGGTGCATAGCTTCAGATTGCATGGCATGGGTTGAACTCAGCATGCACATTGGTTTGTGAAGCAAGGCTGACTGCTGAATGTGGGCAAATGACTGCTCAATGCATGTGACTAGGAGAATGTGGGCAGTTGTAGATGCTGAGACACAGTCAAGACAGTTGCTGAGGCAGTTCTGGGCGTCCCTAGTCTGAATTCAGTCCAGATGCATGCTGATGAAGGGCAGTTCCACATCAGTTACTGAAAGGGATGAAACTGCCTGCCAGGTGTCGCACAGAAACCAAGTCTGCTAGCCAAGTATGCTATGAAATAGCAAAAACGTGTGTAACTACCCTTTGGCAGATAGGGGTGTCATATGTCTTACTCCTGTATAAATAGGGGTGCTTGAGCATTCTGATAGAGAGAGAGTGTTCTGGCTTTGAGAATTTCTTGTAAATTGTTGAGTTCAATATATAAGGTTTGAGAACTTTGTCCCAGTAAATTCGTGTGTGCCTTCTGTGTGAGTTTCTGTCCCTTATTCTTGAGTTTGTGTGTGACTGGTTGCAATAGCAACGCCTTTACAGGTAGCCTCAAAAAAAAAAACAAAAGTTACCCCGTGACACTTTGGTTGCTGTGTGGCTACCTGGATCAGAGGATCGAGGTGTGGCCGACGTTCTTTTCGGGGATTACGGGTTCACCGGTAAACTTGCTCGGACTTGGTTCAAGACTGTGGATCAGCTTCCCATGAATGTTGGAGATGCACACTATGATCCACGGTTTCCCTTTGGTTTTGGACTTGAAACCAAGCTTGTTGTGTAATACTAAAAGGTTTTTTTTTTTTTTTTTTTTTGTATGGGGATTTATGAAAGTTGTATAGAATGTGTTAATTTCATGAAGCAATAAAAATCTGTCTAACCGAGGTGTTAAATTCATGAAGCAATAAAAATCTGTCTAACTGAGCAAAATTGCTCGGCTTTTCAGAATTTGCAAAAGCAACTACTTGGATTTCCATGGAATGAATGGGTGAAGTTGCGTAAAAGGCTAGAAATGGAGTAGAGGATTTGTTGAAAAAAGTTTTTTCGTGTATAAGTCACCACGTGGCACAGTTAAGAGGTATATATAGAAATGTACATACCATTCAAGTCTCTAGATAAGCATACCTTTAATAAGATTCTCTCTATTTTTTAAAATTTTTTATATATTAAAATTTAGGTTAGTTAAAATTCAATTCAAATTAATTAAAATAAATTTTTTACGAATTAAAATTAAGTCAATTAAAAATTATATTTTATCTAAGTGTTAAAAACAAATTATAATCGGCTCGAATCGAATTTTAATCAACTATATAATTGAATTTTTACAATCCCAAATTTTGATACATAAAAATTATAAATTTTTAACATACATAAAAAATAATTTTAATCAACTTGAATCATATTTTAATTGGCTCGAATTTTAATACAAAAAAAAATACAAATTTTAATCAACTCGAATCCAATTTTAATCGGCGCTAGCAGCATAGGTTGAGCACGAATCGACTCAAATTTTAATACATAAAAAAAAATAATTAATTGGCTAGAATCAAATTTTAATCGACCAAATTTTAATATGTAGAAAAACGAATTTTAATCTGCCCAAATTTTAATATGTAAAAAATTAAATTTTAATAATCTCGAATTTTAATCAAATTTTACGCAGAAAGATAGTTTAGAGTTTATGTAAAAATAATTTTAGTATTTTAGATGAATTTTTTTTTGTTAAAAACGGTGGTTTAGGGGTGTCAGTGATGTTTAAATATAAATTAAAATGAGTTTCATTAAAAATATACGTATTTAGAGAGAACGTGGATGATAATTACCCTAATAAATTATATCCTCTATATATCACCGCTGTGCCACCAGTATAACACAGAAAAATGTCTTCTTTAATGGAGACATTTGACTATGGTTGGTTTGATAGAGGTGGACAAAGTGTTGAGTTAGGAAGGAATTGATCTGGGATTCACTTCAATCTCATCAGAGATTAATCAATTCATCTTCTATATCCTACAAATATAATTTGCTCTGGACCACAATCGAACTGGAAATACATATCGCAAATTTGCACCTATGAAATATAATACAACATATTTGGATTCGAATTGATAATATAGTATCACCAATCAATAATAAAATTATAAATAGACAAAGTAAACTTTATTTGAGTAGTTATTAACTTACATAAAAAAAAAAAAAAAAAGTGGGTAGTTATCTGCTTAAATGAACCGGTAATTATTGATTTGGGTAGGGTCCACTTTTTTATTTTTCTGTATATTATTGATTAATGATATCACGTGATAATACTGACTTAGTATTACAGTTGCAATGAATATTTTTTTCCAAACGTAGCTAATAGAGGTGTAAAAGACTTTGTTTGTTCATGTCTCCCTCTACCACATAATTAGGACAAAAAAGTGTTTAGTCTCAATAATATTATTATTTTAGCAATTAGGAATTTGTTATTTTATTCCAAAAAAAATAGAAAACATGATTTTAGAAGAAAAGAAAGAACTCAAGACTGCAAACTAATTATAACATTGCACAATCATCAATAGTTTTAAACTAGGAAGGCCCTAATTGGCACTTTGAAAGATATATAACTCCTATATTTCCCCGGTTTTCATAGTTAATTCGTATTACAAGATTGTCTCTAGAAGTGTAATTGAAGTTAAACTGAATGCCGAGGGGAGAGAGAGAGAGAGAGAGAGAGAGAGAGAGAGAGAGTTGAAGTAGGTCAAGGGTTCAATCGGATGAGAGTTACCAGGACTTCTTTTTACTTGAATTTTTATGACACTCTGTCTATTACTTGGTGAATCTTTCCGAATTATAAGGAGATAATCCTTATCCTATCCAAATTTGAATAACTAATCCTATCTATCTCAACTACGTACTTTTTGAATATCTACATCCTCCTGATCATCGGTCCAAAACAATGTTTGACAGTCCAGATCTGTCCATCACAACATCAATCGAAATTGTGTCATAACACTATCACCAGTCCTCGTTGCTATAAATAACGGTCTTGACTTCATTATGTCTATGAAATCATCTGCATATTGTCTTCCCTTCTNCGGTCTTGACTTCATTATGTCTATGAAATCATCTGCATATTGTCTTCCCTTCTTTTTCAGGTTAGGTGTGATGTTATGCTTTATGTAATTAGTTTTACATAATGTACTTTCATGATCTCTCTTGGCCTTATTATGGACAATTAGTNACATCAATCGAAATTGTGTCATAACACTATCACCAGTCCTCGTTGCTATAAATAATGGTCTTGACTTCATTATGTCTATGAAATCATCTGCATATTGTCTTCCCTTCTTTTTCAGGTTAGGTGTGATGTTCTGCTTTATGTAATTATGGAATGGAATTTTATAGGTCTACATACTGAACTTTTTGATNTGAAATCATCTGCATATTGTCTTCCCTTCTTTTTCAGGTTAGGTGTGATGTTCTGCTTTATGTAATTATGGAATGGAATTTTATAGGTCTACATACTGAACTTTTTGATAGTTTTACATAATGTACTTTCATGATCTCTCTTGGCCTTATTATGGACAATTAGTTTTTTTTGTCCTTCTCAATTTTGGTTCTAATATGGGTTTTGAATTGATTCGTCCATTGGTTTCTTTCACAATTGTTTCTTTTCTTGTTATGTTTTTCCTATATCAGTAAACTTTGAATCTTTTTGTATACATGCATCTACTACGTAAGTCTTTTAAGAATTTGTGATTGTGTACGTAATTGTATATATGTGTATAGATTCTGTCTATATCATGTTTTGCAGCCGAACTAGCTAGTATTGTGATCTAACAACCGGATTTATACGTTACCATGTAGATTTTTTTTTTTTTCAAACTAATTTTTCGGATGCCTAGCTAGTTGGATTCTAAGGAGTCTCTTTGAGTCTTGAACCCTAGATTAGTGACCATGTTCACAAATTGTATTACCTTCTTTTAAGAAGAAAAATACATAAATTGTCTTGACCATAACCTTTTTTTCTCCCTGATTTTGTTACAGAAACCTTACAAGTTTTCTAAGCAACGATGGCAAGGATTTCAATCCCATTAGTAGGCCTCATGTTCTTATGCCTATGGGTAGGCATTGCACAATCAGAATACATGAAGTACAAAGACCCAAAACAACTGATTGGTGCTCGGATTTGGGACCTCATGAATCGAATGACACTTGAAGAAAAGATTGGTCAGATGGCTCAGCTGGATCGGGTGGCTGCAACGGCTGATGTGCTAAGGGATTACTCAATTGGCAGTGTTCTAAGTGGAGGAGGAAGTGTGCCACTTCCCCATGCCACCGCAGAGGACTGGGTTAACATGGTGAATGAGTTTCAGAATGCCTCTTTGTCTAGCAGACTTGGGATCCCTATGATTTATGGGATTGATGCTGTTCATGGCCACAACAATGTGTACAAGGCAACTATCTTTCCCCACAATGTTGGCCTTGGAGCAACCAGGCAAGTTGGTAGACCATAACAATGTCTATTATTTCATAATTTAAGTTATTATTTTTTAATTCTCATGGAGGTTTGGATTGCTTATGTACCTTACCAATATATGCATAGACACACAGTTTGTGGGCGTTGGTTTGTTTCCTACAAGAGAGATATGATGCTTTCTTCACCTGAATTGCAGGGACCCAGAGCTTGTGAAGAGGATTGGTGGTGCAACAGCACTTGAAGTTAGAGCTACAGGGATTCCTTATGTTTTTGCTCCATGCATCGCAGTATGCAGAGATCCAAGATGGGGTCGATGCTATGAAAGTTACAGTGAGGATCCCAAAGTTGTGCAACAAATGACAGAAATCATCTCTGGTTTACAAGGAGAAATTCCTGCTAACTCAAGGAAGGGTGTTCCTTATCTTGGTGGAAAGTAAGTCCAGCAAACCTTTCATAATAAAGTTGCTAATAAATTGTGTCCTACCGTGTCTAGATCATGTGGTATCAAATTTACTAAATTCAACTCAATTATATTCATGTATAATACTGTGTAAAAATCGTGTTTAGTTGGGTTCATGTCAACCCATTTATCATCCGAATCTACTTACTCACTCCAAACTCCCCCCCATAAAAGGCATGGTTATGTATAAAATCTTTATTTGGTATTTATTCTCTCATTTAACGTTGCTTTTGCGCCTGTTAAAAGGGACAAGGTTATAGCATGTGCAAAACACTTTGTGGGAGATGGTGGCACCACCAATGGAATCAATGAGAACAATACAGTGACTGATTGGCATGGATTGCTGAGCACACACATGCCTGGGTACTACAACTCGATCATCAAGGGTGTCTCAACCGTCATGGTCTCTTACTCAAGTTGGAATGGTGTGAAGATGCATGCTAATCACGATCTTATCACTAAGTTCCTCAAAGNTTGCTGAGCACACACATGCCTGGGTACTACAACTCGATCATCAAGGGTGTCTCAACAGTCATGGTCTCTTACTCAAGTTGGAATGGTGTGAAGATGCATGCTAATCACGATCTTATCACTAAGTTCCTCAAAGGCACCTTAAAATTCAGGGTATGTCCTTTATAGATTATTTGATAAATGGTGCTATTTTTGCCCAATTTATCATTTTTTGTACACTTATATTTTATCTGTGGAATTGTTATTTACATAAAAGCATGGGTTGTATTCATAGTTTTCAATATGAAAACATATTTGCATAACATGTTGAAAAAATTAGGTTTTTTGAAAATTGATTGTTCCTAAAATTATACCATATAGCGAGCCGTTCATGACTTTCTATTTGTTGTACAAATTTACAGGGTTTTGTCATCTCAGATTGGCAAGGTATTGACAGGATGACCACACCAGTCCATGCAAACTACACATACTCAGTCCAAACTGGGGTTCATGCTGGCATTGACATGGTTAGAACCTATCTTTTACATCAAATTAGTTTCTAATAAGTACAAAAGTAAAATGTTCTTTTACTATACTCCTCAATAATTAAGACATTGGCAATATTAAATTCGATTCTAGTTTGGATTTTAACTAATATGTACATTTTATCAGATCATGGTCCCTTACAACCACACCGAATTCATTGACATTCTTACCTCCTTAGTCAAGAACAACTTCATCACGATGAGTCGTATCGACGACGCTGTCTCAAGAATCTTGAGAGTCAAATTTACCATGGGTCTCTTTGAGAATCCGATGGCAGATTTTAGCATGGTTGATCAACTGGGAAGCCAGGTCTGTACCTCCCAATCTCTTGATTTTAATGAATTAATGCTTGAAAATTTAATATCTGTGGCTTAATTTTCCTTTTTGGGGTATTTTTTGAACAGGCACATAGAGATTTGGCTAGGGAAGCTGTGAGGAAATCACTTGTGCTACTCAAGAATGGAGAGAATGCAGATAGTCCTTTGCTTCCACTCCCCAAAAAGGCATCCAGGATCCTTGTTGCTGGAAGTCATGCTAACAATCTGGGTAACCAATGTGGTGGTTGGACTATTGCTTGGCAGGGACTTGATGGCAACAACATCACCAGTGGTATGCTTCCCTTTATCTTCAATTCCTATCTGCATCTCTGTAGGAAAAACTATGGGTGGTGTCATGTCTGATTCGTATCTTGTCTAAGTTGTATCATATCCAAATTACTCGATTAATATTCAACTTTTTTATAATCGTGTATAGTCGAGTGTGTTGATATCGACTCATTTGTTTGATGGGTTTTAATGTTCACCCTTTTATCTCGTGGGGAGTGTGAGGATTATATCTACAATTATTAGGTCTACATACCTATATCCCTTGCATGTTATATAGTCTAATAACAAGATTTTATTTGTCTTTGATTAACAGGAACAACCATCTTAAACGGAATCTCAGCAGCAGTTGACCCGAGCACTGAAATCGTCTACAGCCAGAACCCTGACGCCGAATTTGTCAAGTCCAACAACTTCTCCTACGCCATTGTTGTGGTGGGAGAGCACCCTTATGCTGAAACTGCTGGAGACAATGCAAACTTGACAATTCCAGAGCCAGGTCCAAGCACAATCACTAATGTCTGCAAGAACGTCAAGTGTGTCGTCGTACTTGTCTCTGGTCGTCCTCTCGTGATAGAGCCTTACCTTTCATCCATGGATGCTCTCGTTGCTGCGTGGCTTCCAGGAAGCGAAGGCCAAGGCGTTTCCGATGTCCTCTTTGGAGACTATGGATTCTCAGGGAAACTTTCCCGTACTTGGTTCAAGACTGTAGACCAACTCCCTATGAATGTTGGAGATGCAGACTATGATCCACTCTTCCCCTTCGGTTTTGGACTCACAACAGAACCCATAGTAGCAAATTAGAGATTTAATCCACGGGTAGAAAATCTTTATCATGTGTTAAGTCTTTTTTTTTTCTTTTGGGTTTTTCGGCGTAGTAATTAGCAAGGTAGAGAAGGATATCACGAGTTTTGTTTTGTTTTGTTTTGTTTTTGTTTCGGTTCCCCCAACCTCCTCTTCCAAATTTGGATGTTCATATTTAGAAATATTTAGAATAAATATGTTGGATTTTCATAGTTCTTTAACATACATAATAATATGCTTCTGGTTTGTTTTGTTTGAGAATTGTTAGTAGGTTAATTAGCTTTGTTAGTAGGTGCAGCTAACCCATGTCCGTATGACAAGCTCTTGTACGACGATTGGCCTTTGGCAAGGGGGGTAGTTTTTGATACCAAACATTAACATGACACACATGTTATGCAAAATGAGCAATAAATCTCGTGAGATTACCAAGTAGTGTTGAATAGTTAGGACAAACCCAACCAAGAGAATATGATGTGCTGACATGACTAATTAACGAGTTATACTGAAAAAAACAAAAAGGGACCCAAGGGAATTTTTGGGAAAAGGGATAACACCCATCCTCCTCCTAGTCCTACCCTTCCTCTTGCTCCCTGATATATATAACTATACATGTGTGTNTTTGGGAAAAGGGATAACACCCATCCTCCTCCTAGTCCTACCCTTCCTCTTGCTCCGTGATATATATAACTATACATGTGTGTGTGTGTGTGTGTTTTAACGTGACTTACAGAAAGAGGGGGAGATGGAAAAAGAGACTTTGAGTGAAAAGAGAGAGAAGAGTTGGGTTGGGAGGGAAAAAAACTCAACAGAGGAGTTTTGATCTTTCAGATCGAAATTGGCGTGGAATGAATCAATTTAGAGAGAGAAGAGTTGGGTTGGGACGGAAAAAAACCCAACAGAGGAGTTTCGATCTTTCAGATCGAAATTGGCGTGGAATGAACTATTTTTCTTGGGTTCTTTGATTCAAAATAGATTTTGTTGAAGAATTGTAAGGGAGTAACTCCTTTAGGTAAGAAATTCTGTTAATAATTACTTGTATTTGGTTATTTTAAAGTATAAGAAAAAGAGTTGGGTTTTTGGTTGTGAATCTCGGTTGTGAGGGATGAATACGGTTTCGATTTTGGTTTGTTTTTATGAATTTTGATATTGGGTATATTATTAGTGTAGGTTTTCATGTGAATATATGCTTAACATTTATGGCATGTGCGTTAAGAGTTGTGGGGTTGAAGGAGGAAGATTGGGGAAGAAGATGGAACAGAAATGGAAAACAGAACAGAGATGAACCTGTTCATCGGGTCATAGTACTATGATGGACCAGTTCAACAAATGTTGAACCGGTTGAAGGAAAAATTTTGTCTATATAACCAATTGAACTTAAACCGATTCAAACAGGTTGTTCTTCCATTTTGTCTATAGTTGACCTTGTTATTTTTCTTTAACATTAATTTAACTTATTTATTATTCGTATAAATTAATCGTATCATTTTTTACCTTTGTGTCGGGTTCAAGTGTAAAATTGGCACCCCTTGTAGCAGTTGACCTGAGCATAGAAATATCATTTTTTACCCTTATGCTGAAATTGCTGGAGACTGCAAACTTGATAGTTTCTAAACCTCGTCCAAAACACAACCACTAATGGCTGCTGTGGTGTCAAGTGTGTCGTCGTGCTTATCTCCAGTAGTCCTCTTGTGTTCGAGCCTTACCTTTCATCCATGGATGCTCTTGTCGTTGCTGGGCTTCCAGGAAGCGAAGGACAAGGCATTTCCGATGTGCTTTTCGGGGACTACAGATTTTCAGGGAAACTTTTATGTATTTGGTTCATAAACTGTAGATCAACTTGCAATGAATGTCGGAGATCAAGACTATGATACACTCTTCCCCTTCAACTTCGGACTCACAACAGACGCTGGCTTGAGAACCTCCGGTAGGTGCTGATGATGGATGCCAACATGACAAGGTCTTTTCTGTCACTAGATTGGTTTTGTGCAAGGGTGGCACAAACCCATCCCAAAATAACACAACACAAGCACGACTCCATTGTCTCCCGGCCAACCTTGTCAATTACTGTTGCATAAGCATGTTTCTGCTGGTAAAGGCACTGGTGTGTAGATTCCTAGTGAACTTATTTAATACAACATCGACAGACCCATAATTCTCGTACCAAGGTAATTTCCTGGTAACAAATACATCCATTAAGTTGTTTTCTGTAAAGAGCTACATTTATACAAAGGGGCAACAAAATGCAAGTACAGATCCGCATCAGATCGATTGTCACTATACAGCCATGGGACACAAAAGGAGAGACTGCACGAGATTGATCAACCTAGATAGAATAAGCCTTCCATCCATCCATCCATCACAGATTAGTATTTTCCTGGGGATGAGTGCATGAAGATGTCTATACCATCCACGTTGACAACTTCTATTGTCCTCCACACGATCTTTCCAGCGAATCTGCAGAAACATGTCATATATTTTGAAGCTAGAACACCAATAAATGTCTAGAAATTTAAGTGCAACAGTAGTTTCTTTTCCCTTGGTGATGGGGAGAGAAGGGGAAGGTGGAGGTGGAGGTGGCAGGTGCTTAGTTATAACACCGCTGGTTCTTTCTAAAAGAGTCCTGTTCTGTCAGGAATGGACATGTTTCTCCGCACTTTGTCAAGATAACATACACCGAGATGCTGCATAATAATGCTTTAAATCTCATCCAACTAATATCTTTCCAAAACGGGTAAATATATTTCGATATCTACCTCACTCAACATTGTGGGATTGATCATGCTCAATAAAATCTAAAGCTTCTTCCTTGGAGACAACATTGACACGGCTGACCCTATTTTTGTGTGTCACCCCATATATCTTATCAGCAACTTTCACAAGCTCTGGGCGGAACGTTGTGGTGATAAACTGGGTACTCCCCATGTCAGCCAAACGACGAACCATATCTATTAAACACATGGTTAAGGATCTTCAGAAGAACATAAGCACAGATGAAAAGCAAGATTGGTGTTTCTATGCTCTACAACAGCCACAATCTTATCTACCAATATGAAACCAGCATTCATGAAAAAACTAATTACAGCTGCCTATTGCTATCAAATGGTATATCACAAGCCCACTTGCATTTTAGCTAAGACTTCTAGTTGCTTGATAGCAATCAGGAGAAGAAAAAAGAAAAAAAAGCAGCCAGCACAGTTATGGTGTGAACTGTAAACCAAAATAAGAAAGTCAGAGAGGGAGAGAGGACACAACAGAAGAAAAGCATCAGGGCATGGCCATAACAAGAATAACAAAATATAACAAAATCCAACTAGTACAGTAAGTTATAATTTGAGGAATGAAAAGTAGATTTCATCAGCTGAAACTTCTCTGGTATTCCTTTTACAGCGTCCACATTCCAGACATGTGTCCACAAATATTTAGCCAACACTCGGACGACTTACCATAGTTACTTTGGGAAACGACTTTGCCCTTCATTTTAGAAAGATTTCACTTAGCTAGAAAGAGTAAAATGACATCCTAGAACAAAAGTGAGACAGAACAATGGTCTCAATCAAACTCACAGCCACAAAAAAATGCACACAGGTATGCACACACACAGGAGGTGAGGCCTGAATTGTCTAATTAAGCACCGAAAGTAATTAAAAACAGAAGCACAAGGAAAAGGAAAGCGCAGAAGAGGAAAAATGAAAAAGACAAAAACACACCTCAGCAACGAAAACAAAAAGGGGAATCAATACCATATGCTTCCACAATAATGCCTGAGGGAATATACTAACGTTCACCAAGATCTGGTCTGAGGTGAACAACACAATTATCAACCTTGGTGTTAGTTTCATGAAATGGTTGAGAAGACAATTCCATATCTTAGCAAAAATAAATAAATTTGATGCTACCAGTTTTTTGTTAAAAAGTTTCATAAGATATAGAAGCAAGCAATCAAGAAAATCCCTCATTCCATATAGATGATTGGAAATTCATGGATGAACATTTTTTTTTTTTTGGGAGAGGGGAGACTTGATCTCTTGACCTCAAAAAGACAAAACCTTCATACGNAAAATCCCTCATTCCATATAGATGATTGGAAATTCATGGATGAACATTTTTTTTTTGGGAGAGGGGAGACTTGATCTCTTGACCTCAAAAAGACAAAACCTTTATAAGNAATTCTCGTACCAAGGTAATTTCCTGGTAACAAATACATCCATTAAGTTGTTTTCTGTAAAGAGCTACATTTATACAAAGGGGCAACAAAATGCAAGTACAGATCCGCATCAGATCGATCGTCACTATACAGCCATGGGACACAAAAGGAGAGACTGCACGAGATTGATCAACCTAGATAGAATAAGCCTTCCATCCATCCATCCATCACAGATTAGTATTTTCCTGGGGATGAGTGCATGAAGATGTCTATACCATCCACGTTGACAACTTCTATTGTCCTCCACACGATCTTTCCAGCGAATCTGCAGAAACATGTCATATATTTTGAAGCTAGAACACCAATAAATGTCTAGAAATTTAAGTGCAACAGTAGTTTCTTTTCCCTTGGTGATGGGGAGAGAAGGGGAAGGTGGAGGTGGAGGTGGAGGTGGCAGGTGCTTAGTTATAACACCGCTGGTTCTTTCTAAAAGAGTCCAAGTGATTCAGTTTCACGTGTTGTATTACTGTTTTGTCAGGAATGGACATGTTTCTCCGCACTTTGTCAAGATAACATACACCGAAATGCTGCATAATAATGCTTTAAATCTCATCCAACTAATATCTTTCCAAAACGGGTAAATATATTTCGATATCTACCTCACTCAACATTGTGGGATTGATCATGCTCAATAAAATCTAAAGCTTCTTCCTTGGAGACAACATTGACACGGCTGACCCTATTTTTGTGTGTCACCCCATATATCTTATCAGCAACTTTCACAAGCTCTGGGCGGAACGTTGTGGTGATAAACTGGGTACTCCCCATGTCAGCCAAACGACGAACCATATCTATTAAACACATGGTTAAGGATCTTCAGAAGAACATAAGCACAGATGAAAAGCAAGATTGGTGTTTCTATGCTCTACAACAGCCACAATCTTATCTACCAATATGAAACCAGCATTCATGAAAAACCTAATTACAGCTGCCTATTGCTATCAAATGGTATATCACAAGCCCACTTGCATTTTAGCTAAGACTTCTAGTTGCTTGATAGCAATCAGGAGAAGAAAAAAGAAAAAAAAGCAGCCAGCACAGTTATGGTGTGAACTGTAAACCAAAATAAGAAAGTCAGAGAGGGAGAGAGGACACAACAGAAGAAAAGCATCAGGGCATGGCCATAACAAGAATAACAAAATATAACAAAATCCAACTAGTACAGTAAGTTATAATTTGAGGAATGAAAAATAGATTTCATCAGCTGAAACTTCTCTGGTATTCCTTTTACAGCGTCCACATTCCAGACATGTGTCCACAAATATTTAGCCAACACTCGGACGACTTACCATAGTTACTTTGGGAAACGACTTTGCCCTTCATTTTAGAAAGATTTCACTTAGCTAGAAAGAGTAAAATGACATCCTAGAACAAAAGTGAGACAGAACAATGGTCTCAATCAAACTCACAGCCACAAAAAAATGCACACAGGTATGCACACACACAGGAGGTGAGGCCTGAATTGTCTAATTAAGCACCGAAAGTAATTAAAAACAGAAGCACAAGGAAAAGGAAAGCGCAGAAGAGGAAAAATGAAAAAGACAAAAACACACCTCAGCAACGAAAACAAAAAGGGGAATCAATACCATATGCTTCCACAATAATGCCTGAGGGAATATACTAACGTTCACCAAGATCTGGTCTGAGGTGAACAACACAATTATCAACCTTGGTGTTAGTTTCATGAAATGGTTGAGAAGACAATTCCATATCTTAGCAAAAATAAATAAATTTGATGCTACCAGTTTTTTGTTAAAAAGTTTCATAAGATATAGAAGCAAGCAATCAAGAAAATCCCTCATTCCATATAGATGATTGGAAATTCATGGATGAACATTTTTTTTTTTTTGGGAGAGGGGAGACTTGATCTCTTGACCTCAAAAAGACAAAACCTTCATACGGTAAGGAGTACCATTGGACCAAAGACCCGTTGTACATGGATGAACATATTGAACAGTGTTTGTGACTTCTTAAGAAGAACAATAAGTGCAGGTAAAAAAGATTCTTTTATGGATTAAGTATTAGTACTAATGCCATTACACAGAAAAATGCATGCGGGTGTTAAAGAGCCTCTTGATAACAAATTAAATCCGTTAGTTAATCCTGATTTCATATTTGACTAATAAAAACACTTGAAGAGTAAATTTTGTACAAAGTACAACTTATTTTTTCAAATGTTGAAGTTTCTCAGCAATTTCCTTGGTGCACCCTGGAATGACAAAAGATTGATAATCTATAACCAAGATTCATACAAGTGATCACACACATGCACTACCAAACATATCTAAGGTTGTGGCCAGGAAATTTCTGCAAGAAAGTAAATAGTTAAATACAACCAGAACATATGTCGAAGCAGTAGGAAAATGTAGCTAATAAGGGTTTTCTCCAATCAGAGTCACCCAAGGCCACATAGCGCAATGAGTGGGATGGGAAAGGGATGGCATAGGATGAGATTGGATGCCATGATCACTGAACCTACTCAAAAAAGGCAACCTAATGCACGAGGCTCCTCATCCTGTCACTGCAAAGTCTAGGGAGGATCAGATGCAAGCTACTTTACCCCCATCTGCAGCCAACAGACCCACCAACAATCATTAAAGTAGAAGGTGGACCATAACTCCACAAAAATATCTAGTGAGAGAATAATCCATAGAACCATTGAATGAAAAAGGATACTTCCCACAGCAGTTCTGTACTGAGGATCAAGTGCTGCGTCTATCTCATCAAAAAGATAAAATGGCGCAGGATCACATCGCTGTATAGCAAAGATCAGTGTCAGTGCTACAACAGTTTTTTGACCCCCAGATAACTGCTTCATTGACTGCGTCTCCCCTTGCCCAGTAAAAGAAACCTGGCATAAGAAGCCCAATGAAAATTTTGTTTAATTAGAACTGATTTAACAGCCAAGACTTTAGAAGGATATTGTTACTTCGAGTATTTAACAGTCCCACCAATCAATTTGGCAAATAAATTGAACAAAAAGAGCACGATGAGCTGGTCATGCCAACCCACTTAGGGTTTTTGGCTTGTCCCATAAAGTTACCCAGCTATAACTTTGCTTACAAAGGATTATAAATGCTTTAACAGAAAATTACATGCCTTTACTTTCACGCCGATGTACTTCTCTACCCTTCCCTCCATATCAGTTGCACGAGGTCCATCCTCATCAAGATCATCATCACCTTGGTCACCATCCTGCAAAAGAATAACCAGATCAGGTATCAACAATTCAAATCTAAAAATTGTATCCACCAAATCAAAATACATTTTCTTTATTCTGGGATTTTCTAATGAACAGAGTTTCCTAAACAGTAGAAAAGGTGAAAATATCAAATATTATCATTTATCCACCGAAGCATGCAATTTTATTTCCTCGGATCACCAAAGACACGACAATACTTCTAACAAGGTCAACTACCCAAGCAAATACAAGACTGCAAACAACCACTGATAGAGATTGATGCAAATTAGATATTTAAAAAGAGGGGTTACGGATGAAGGTGTGAACCAAATAATTATACTATAAAATCCTTGTATGCCAATGCAGGATGCTGGCGACAGATTTAATCCTTTGCCATGATTTGCAAATGACCTCTCACTCAAACCTGCAATCTCATGATAGACGACACAAGCATTATACCATTACACCAAATTATGAATCCCATATACAATATATGCATTGGCTGGTACTGGTCATGCAAAGGAGAAAAGAAAGCTTTTTTTATAAGCAACAAAGAAATTATCGTCACACATTTGGGTATAGTGTGGGACCAGAAGTCCATTGCAAGAGGGAGAAAAAAAAAAGAAAGAAAGAAAGAAAATTCAAATTACATATCACATACAGATCTTCAATCTGCCCTGATCAAGAACAATCAAACAGGAGTGACGATGAAAGCTATAATTATTTAAGTGAGACGAAGGAGGATTTTGAAGTACTGGATTCATTTGAAGAGTGATGGAGGTTCGAAGATGGCAACCAATGCTGCAATGATGCCAACAATACTTTTATGGTTTCTGATGGTTGTTTAAAAGTAGATGATAGTACAGTGGGCACCTCTCAGAGTGAAGATTTGAAGTCTGAGGGTAGTTTGCAAGGAGTGGTTTCCGAATATCAAATTAAAGGGTTATTCGAGAATAATTAGGAGCTGGGGCAGGTGAAAGGTAGTGGCAGAGATGAAGATGGGGTGTTTGATAAGGAGGCTAATCTATAGGTGTATTTTCCAATTGTGCAACAGTCTAATGCTTCTTCTTGCTCTCTTTTTCGTCAATCAAATTTCATCCATTCTGGGGTGTCGGAGTTAGGGTCCAGTAGTATGGGGTGTGAGTCTAATATTCCAATTCGTCCTATTGTTGAGGGCAAGGGTGTTCCTGTAGCTGACTTAGATGGGCAGGGAGTGGATTCTTAATCTTTTCCTGGTGAGTTTGGAACTGTGGGTGAAAATATACTTTTCAATTCAACCTTGTTGAGCGGAACAAAATGGAAATCTTTGTAACACATTAATGTGCATTGAGAATAAAGATAATACGGATAGTTTGGTTCTGGGGGAGGCCACTGGCCAGCCTATTGGTGGTATTGATTGTATTCATAAAGAGGGACCAAGCCTGATTCCTGAACTGTGGAGGGAGGGGTGAGGAAGATAGTAATGGAGAGCAGAGGTTTTTTCTATCTGATGATGAGAAGTGGAGTATTTGGAAGAAATTTTTAGAGAAAACGGATTTGTCTCTAGTTCATAATATAGAAGGAAAGGAAAGACAAAGGGCAGAGGAAAATCAGAGAGGAAAAATAAGGGAGTGAGGGAACTTAAGAATTTACAATCTGGGATCAATTATGAGGGCGTTAAGTCTAGAAGGAGTGGTGAAAGTGAAGAGAGTTTATACGAAACTAGCTAGTTGGAATGTGAGGGGCCTTGGATCACATGGTAAAGGAGTTCAATTTTAGGAGGTGTTGATGCAAGTAGGGCCGATTGTGGTTATTTTGCAAGAGTCTAAGAAGAAAAAGATTGATAGGAATCTGACTAAGAGAATGTGTGGGGATCTAGATATAGGAATTGGATTTGATTGTCGTCTGTTGGTAGGTCTGGTGGTAGTCTGATCATGTGGGATGAAAGGACTGTCAAAATAGAGGAGTCAATAGAGGGTGAGATCTCAATTTCGGTTAGAATTAAGTCTAAAGACAGACTAGAGTGGTGGTTAACTAGGGTGTATGGACTGAACTATCCTAGGGTGAGGAGTAGACTTTGGTAGGAATTAGCGGGTTTGTATGGACTGTGTAGTCCACGTTGGTGTGTTGGTGGAGATTTTAATGTAGTGAGATATTTTTCACAAAAACTGAATGGTAGAAGAGTGATGAGAAGCATGTGGAAATTTGATTATTTCATTTGGAAAACTAGGCTCAAGGATCCTCCTTTGGTTAACGGAACATGTACCTAGTCTAATTTTAGAGATAATCTTGTCTGTAATAGACTGGACAGGTTTCTTTTCTCAGCAAAATGGGAGGAGTGTTTTTTGGAAGTGAGACTGGAGATTTTATTGAGAGTTGTTTCATACCATTGTTCAGCTCTTCTTGATTCGTCTTTGATTAAGTGGGGTACTTATCATTTTAGATTTGAGAATATTAGAACACCATGAATTTAGAGCAAAGCTTAGTGAGTGGTGGGGTGAAAATAATTATCAGGGATGGGAAGGATTTAAATTCATGAAGAAGTTAGAACATACGAAAGAAATGGTGAAGATATGGAACAAGTAATTGAGAATATAAGAGTTACACAAAAATTGATCATGAATAGAATTGGAAAGAATGATAAGATTGAAGAGTGTGGGAAGTTAAGTGAGAATTTGAGGAAGGGGAGATGGAGTTGAGGAACAAATTTGACGAGGTGGTGTTTAAGGAATAAATTAGTTGAAGACAAAAAATAAGGATGAAGTGGTTAAAAAAAAGAGAAAACAATTCAAAACTTTTTCATATGGTGGCAAATGGCAAAAAGAAGAAGAAATTTATTGATAAACTAGCTATAATTTGTGCTTGAAGGCATGATAAAATATAAAATTCGAGTGTTTAAACAATTGATCCCACTATACCAAATTATAATTTTTTATTCCTTCGATTCTTTGATTCAACCATTTAAATTAATTTTTGCCTATTATTTTTTTAAAAATAACATCAAAATTTTCTTAAAATGCATAACCCGTTCTCAACATGTGTACACTATCGTGTATAAACAATGTATGAAATAAAAATTATATTAAACTACAAATTAATCAAATATTTAATGATTAAACATGTAATAGAATTGAGTTATGTGATTTTTTGTTTGGAGAAAATATATAAGGGATAAACTTTCAAACTCCTGGATGTTTTATTATATAGATTGAAACTAGATAATGGAGTGATAAATAATGATAAGGTAATGATTGAGAGTAAGATTGTTGAAAATTTTAACAATCATATATCTTAGGAGGATGTTAGACTGAGGTGAGAGGGTTTAGAGTGGAATCCAATTGATGAAGATAATGCAATCACTAATTCTACATTTATATACTTGATCCCAAAAAAAGATGAGCCCATGAATGTTCGGGATTTTAGACCGATTAGTTTGGTGTCTAGCCTTTATAAAATCATTGCGAAAATGATAACTTTGAAGCTAAGAGGATTCTTAGTGATACCATATCCGAGTGTCAAGGAGCATTTGTTATGTGTAGACAAATTCTAAATGTACCTCTTGTAGCCAATGAGGTTGTGGAGGACTATAGAGCTAGATGAGAAGAGGGTTTTGTTTTTAAAATTGATTTTGAGAAAGCATATTCTTATGTGGACTGGGACTTTTTTGGATTATGGATTGGAGGACTTGGAAAGCGATGGAGAAGGTGGATTCAAGGATGTTTGCATTCTATGAATTTCTCTATCATGACGAATGGGAAGCTTAGGAGTAAATTTAAGGCATCGCGGAGATCGAGACAAGGTGATCCTTTGTCTCCTTTCTCTTTACTTTAGTAGTTGATGGCTTGAGTAGGCTAGTTAGGGGGGCTGAGTTGTAATCTTGGGCAACGTTTTACTATGGGGAGAGAAAGGATAGTCGTTTCACATTTGTAGTTCGCCGATGATACGATATTCATTTCAATAGGGGATGAGGAAAAACTTTTAAATTTTACGAATATCGNCAATTGATGAAGATAATGCAATCACTAATTCTACATTTATATACTTGATCCCAAAAAAAGATGAGCCCATGAATGTTCGGGATTTTAGACCGATTAGTTTGGTGTCTAGCCTTTATAAAATCATTGCGAAAATGATAACTTTGAAGCTAAGAGGGATTCTTAGTGATACCATATCCGAGTGTCAAGGAGCATTTGTTATGTGTAGACAGANTTGGTGTCTAGCCTTTATAAAATCATTGCGAAAATGATAACTTTGAAGCTAAGAGGATTCTTAGTGATACCATATCCGAGTGTCAAGGAGCATTTGTTATGTGTAGACAAATTCTAAATGTACCTCTTGTAGCCAATGAGGTTGTGGAGGACTATAGAGCTAGATGAGAAGAGGGTTTTGTTTTTAAAATTGATTTTGAGAAAGCATATTCTTATGTGGACTGGGACTTTTTTGGATTATGGATTGGAGGACTTGGAAAGCGATGGAGAAGGTGGATTCAAGGATGTTTGCATTCTATGAATTTCTCTATCATGACGAATGGGAAGCTTAGGAGTAAATTTAAGGCATCGCGGAGATCGAGACAAGGTGATCCTTTGTCTCCTTTCTCTTTACTTTAGTAGTTGATGGCTTGAGTAGGCTAGTTAGGGGGGCTGAGTTGTAATCTTGGGCAAGGTTTTACTATGGGGAGAGAAAGGATAGTCGTTTCACATTTGCAGTTCGCCGATGATACGATATTCATTTCAATAGGGGATGAGGAAAAACTTTTAAATTTTACGAATATCGTCAAGGTTTTTGGGTTAGGGTCAGGGTTGACGGTGAATATGGATAAGAGTGTTCTAGTTGGTATTAATTCTCATCATGATAAGATCAATAGAGTTGCGGGACTTTTGAGATGTAGAGTAAGGGAGTGGCCTTTGATGTACTTTAGGTTACTCTTAGGTGGAAATCCATTATCTTTATCTTTTTGGAATTCAATGGTCGAAAAAGTGGGTAAAAGATTAGATGAGCAAAAGAAANAGAGTAAGGGAGTGGCCTTTGATGTACTTTAGGTTACTCTTAGGTGGAAATCCATTGTCTTTATCTTTTTGGAATTCAATGGTCGAAAAAGTGGGTAAAAGATTAGATGAGCAGAAGAGAGCATATATTTCCAAAAGGGGGAGGTTAACTTTAGTATAGTCAATTCTAGCTAGGCCTGTCAAAATCTGACACGACACGAATTAAGCAAATTTTGGTGAGATCTTAACGGGTTTGGGTAATAAACGGGTTGATCCGCCAAGCACGTTTAATAAATGGGTCGCATTCGAGTGAGATCTGTCAAACCGTTTATCACATGTTTATCCGGTTAAATAACATTAATATAATAATAAATTAATAATTATTTTAAAAAACTAGCCAAAAAAAAAGAAGTAAAGAAATCAATACAAAAAAAAAAGCAAAGTAGTAGTTCAACAAAGGAAGAGAGATAAGAAGCAATTCTTGATAAAGACAAACCAACCCCTTTTGTTTTTGCCCCACATCGGCAAATGAGGAGAGATGGGGAGTGCTGCCTTACCTATAAAAGGCAATAGCCTTTTGCCCTTTTTTTTTAGCCTTCAAGTCTGATTTTTATGTGAAATTTGACTAAAAATTCCTCTTTTTTAAGGTAAATACAATTGGCAATAAAAAAAGTAAAGTATTTAATTTGTTGATATATTTTTTTTAAAATTAAACAGGTTAAACGAGACGTGCTGTGTTACCCATTTATTAAACGGGTCGTGTTCGTGTTGAGATTTTTTACCTATTTATTAAACGTGTCATGTACGAGTTTACATGTTTTTCACCCGTTACCTATTTAACCCAACACGTTTGACACCCCTAATTCTAGCTAGTATTCCTACATACTCTCTCTCTCCAATTTGTGTTCACCAAATAAAGGGTTTGGACTCTGAAACTCCCCCGACTAACTCTTTTTTTTTTTTTGTTCTCTCTCACGCTTTTGTTTTTTGTCTTCTTCCAAATTCTCTCTCTCTGAATACACACTAAATTTCAGCTTTTTGAAAAAAATAGTTTTCTTCTTTTTGGGTATTATCTATTTATTAACTGTCAAATACATTAACCTATTGTCCAAGTTGATACTAGCCCATCCAATTGTAACATATTGGCCCACTACCTAATTTGATATTAGCCCATTATCCAATTATAAAATATTAATCAACTACTCTATATTTATTAGGCGTATTATTAATGTTTTTATTTATAAAAAATATATAATATTACTTTAATTAGTTGTATCCTTGCCGTACTCATTCCATATATTTTGGAACTTTGATATATCCCCGTGTCCGTATCTGTGTTTTTTAGGTTACCGGCTAACAGATGGGATACCAACAAGGTTGAAAGGGGACTAAGATTTACTTCTTTTTGACATTTATCCCATAAACCTTTCATTTTCTCCAAAATGGGACTAAGATTTATTCTAATTCACAGCACCTCTCAAAGGAGTGGAATCTCTTTGTATGTTGTTTATTTAAAATTTTTTTTTTTTTGGGTGGGGGGTTTGTTCTTTTCACCACAGCTCCCAATGTTAATGACAACAGCAACCAGCACATACNGTCATGTACGAGTTTACATGTTTTTCACCCGTTACCCATTTAACCCAACACGTTTGACACCCCTAATTCTAGCTAGTATTCCTACATACTCTCTCTCTCCAATTTGTGTTCACCAAATAAAGGGTTTGGACTCTGAAACTCCCTCAACTAACTCTTTTTTTTTTTTGGTTCTCTCTCACGCTTTTGTTTTTTGTCTTCTTCCAAATTCTCTCTCTCTGAATACACACTAAATTTCAGCTTTTTGAAAAAAATAGTTTTCTTCTTTTTGGGTATTATCTATTTATTAACTGTCAAATACATTAACCTATTGTCCAAGTTGATACTAGCCCATCCAATTGTAACATATTGGCCCACTACCTAATTTGATATTAGCCCATTATCCAATTGTAAAATATTAATCAACTACTCGATATTTATTAGGCGCATTATTAATGTTTTTATTTATAAAAAATATATAATATTACTTTAATTAGTTGTATCCTTGCCGTACTCCTTCCATATATTTTGGAACTTTGATGTATCCCCGTGTCCGTATCTGTGTTTTTTAGGTTACCAGNTAACAAGGCTTTACAGGAAATTAGGACCAGCATCACAATAACCTCATATAATTAGTTTAAAGAGAACATGTATCCCACATCGAATGATTAAAACCACCAAAGTCAATTTATATGGAAAATTAATTTTTGGTTGAATATNTTTATTAACTGTCAAATACATTAACCTATTGTCCAAGTTGATACTAGCCCATCCAATTGTAACATATTGGCCCACTACCTAATTTGATATTAGCCCATTATCCAATTATAAAATATTAATCAACTACTCTATATTTATTAGGCGTATTATTAATGTTTTTATTTATAAAAAATATATAATATTACTTTAATTAGTTGTATCCTTGCCGTACTCATTCCATATATTTTGGAACTTTGATATATCCCCGTGTCCGTATCTGTGTTTTTTAGGTTACCAGCTAACAGATGGGATACCAACAAGGTTGAAAGGGGACTAAGATTTACTTCTTTTTGACATTTATCCCATAAACCTTTCATTTTCTCCAAAATGGGACTAAGATTTATTCTAATTCACAGCACCTCTCAAAGGAGTGGAATCTCTTTGTATGTTGTTTATTTAAAATTTTTTTTTTTTTTGGGTGGGGTCTGGGTGGGGGGTTTGTTCTTTTCACCACAGCTCCCAATGTTAATGACAACAGCAACCAGCACATGCAGGACATGACAGAAACACCACTCTTGCATGCAACAAACCAGTAAAACAAGCTTTCCCAGTAAATTAAAGATTTCTAAACATGAACAGAATTTGATTCCTTGAAATCTAAAAAGCTACTTAAATGAGCACCGTCATAAAGCAGCAACCTACTTTATGAGACATAAATCAGAATATCCATCACCACAAACAAGAGAAACTGGAAGTCATGCATAGCCAACAATTGGAAAAGGCAAAACAAACCTTTTTCTTCATCATGACCAAAAATCCATGGCCACCTTGCACAAGTTCAGAAAATACTTCTCGAAAATGCTTAGCCACCCCTTTGAAGGTGCGTTCAATTGATTCATCCTTCCGTTGATCCAAAACAGAAATAAGTTCTTTAATTTTCTGCCAGAAATTGATGGAAAATCAAGCTGAATTCACCAATATCACCTGAACATATTAGCCATAACTCTGAAGAGAAATCTGACAGATAGAATTGAGTACCTCATCACCTGCATCCAATTCAGCTTGCCTTCGCTGGAGTTCTTCTCTTTGCTCAGTGAAATTTACATATTGATCCAGGGCTTTTTTGTTTACATGGCTGAACTGTTGCAATTGCTCGTTGCACTTGTGAAGCATTTTATACAACTCTTTAATGCTCCTCCGCTTATACCTAAAGTTTCCAATGATCAAAAGACAAATTAAGAAATTTAAACACATAGTTCCAAAAGGATAACTTCATAACCTCCCCAAGTACATTTGCTAAGGATAGCGAAAACCTATTTCAGGTGTTGTAGAAAAAATATAAACCCATAAAAAGATTCATGAGGAATATTTATGAAACAATCTCAAGTTCAATCAACAGATCCTTCAGAATGAGCAGATCTTCATTATTGCACAGTGGCAATAAGCTAAGGAACACTCAAAGCAGTAGGAGCAGTCCGACACTAATACATACACTTGATGTAAGAGAATGCAAGGCTCACAGGTATGTGAGGCTCCCTGGATCTTTGTAGTTGTATGTGGACTATATAATTGTCTAATAGATGAAAACTAACATTACGTCTACCATTTCATTCAGAAAATCTACAATCAGATTTTGTAACAGCAAATCCTAAAATATAGAATTTAGACAATGCTAGGTCATGCCATAAAGTAAATTTGTTTTATGTAAAAATTAGCTAGTACCATCATGGTTGGACATCATTCATGGTTGGAATGCTTAGTACCATTTAAATGTTACTCGTGTTATATTCTAGGCGTGTTGGATGTACATTCATATCATTGGGATTGGGATTGGGAGATATTCTTTAATGGAGATACCCTACTGGGCTTTGTGTCACCCCGTTGGGGGAACGAACATTTTTCAGGTACTCACGCTTTAGCAAATAGCCGTCTCATGGGTCCAGCTTGACAACGAAATCGAAGTCTGGATTTTCATTTTGGATGTATAGATGCTTAGGTCCCATTGTATTTTTCTTGAGCCTTGTATTTTGGTTATACAAACCTTTGTACATCCTTTTGAGTAAAGGCATTGTATATTGTGGCACTTTATATATCTATTCTTGTGACAAATGTATATTTTTATATTGTGAATCGTTGGCGAATGTTTAAATACTTAAATATTGGTTTGGGACCTTGGAATGATTGTTGTGTTAGTTTCGAAAATAGGTAAGGTGTGGAGAGAGCTCCCCGTACAAAGGAAACTTCGCTAGATTTCCTTTGTGATTGGTTCATCGAGACTAATGCCTAAGGTTAATTAACAAGGCTTTACAGGAAATTAGGACCAGCATCACAATAACCTCATATAATTAGTGTAAAGAGAACATGTATCCCACATCGAATGATTAAAACCACCAAAGTCAATTTATATGGAAAATTAATTTTTGGTTGAATTTTCTAACATAATATAATAACTGGCCCTTGGGTGGTTAGTAAGTCAAGTCGCTTACCCATCTGAATTTCTCAGTATACATGTTTGTCTGTTTATTTGTTAATCCCATGTGCAAGTCTAGGCCCCACACGAGAGAAAGTGTATAGAGAGCTTGTGCACTTTCTATGCTTAAGGCCTAAGGGTCTCTTCAATCGTGGCCTACTGATTTTGATTTGCATGCTCTTACAATTATGAATGAGTCAGCATACTACTAGCTTCTAAGTTCAGCTGCTTGTTTATGCATTCTCATAATCAAATTATAATACTTTGATAAGACTCCAGTGAAGGTCTGATATTCAAGCTATCATCTCAGTAAGAAACCATAAATTTTCCCACCAGGAGAAATGGAGATCAAATCAAGCAAAGGGCCAACCATGGATATGACTATTCCGTTGCATCAAAAAGTAATGCAGCATGTGGCGGAATATTATTTAGTTTAAGGACAGATTATTGAGCAATGTAACTGTACAAAATATTGAAAACATGCAGAATACAAGATTAGCTCCTTTAACTAAACAACAAGAGCACTCTGTATAAACATGGATTGTGCAATTTTATATAGAAATAAGACTATGGTAGAAAGCTAAGACTAGTTCTTTAGTAGGGTTAACAAAACAAGTTCAGATATCTTTATGCTCAATCCATTAACCAAATCATGTTGGGAACATAATTTTGATGGGGCATCATTTATCTCTCAATTTCAATTTACATATATACATAAATATGATGAAATAACCTAAGATGGTTCAAACTTACAGTTATAGATATCATCTATCAGTCAGCAATATAGAAAAAAAGGCNGGGCATCATTTATCTCTCAATTTCAATTTACATATATACATAAATATGATGAAATAGATGGTTCAAACTTACAGTTATAGATATCATCTATCAGTCAGCAATATAGAAAAAAAGACAAAAAAGTTCACTGCAATAGTCTACAATGGAGGAATATTAAAAATTTAGCAATGAGTATTACGTTTCAAAAGCATCTGAAGATAATGGACCCAATTCCCTGATTTTTTTTGAGTACTCTTCTTGTTTGGTGAGAAGCATGTTTCTTTTACCCAACAGTTGTTCCAGTTCTTTTGCTTCATCCTGAAGGGTCCTTNTTACGTTTCAAAAGCATCTGAAGATAATGGACCCAATTCCCTGATTTTTTTTGAGTACTCTTCTTGTTTGGTGACAAGCATGTTTCTTTTACCCAACAGTTGTTCCAGTTCTTTTGCTTCATCCTGAAGGGTCCCTTGATAGTCATCTTCCAATGTCTGCATTTGAAAGGAATCTTAATGTTATCAGCAACCAAAAAAAAAAAAAAAACCAAACATGAACCTTCTGAGAAGACGACCTTTAACTTATTCTGCTCATCTTTGATCTTCTTGAGTTTTTTATTCCGTTCATCTATACTTTCAGAAGCTCCTGTGTGAGATACATTTTATAAATACACAATACCACGAATTGCATAGGTTGGGATGGAAATAAGGCAGAAAGATTCTGAAGCTCTCACTTTTGAGCTGCTGTGTCACATCTTCAACTACTAGCTTGGCATCCTTCAGTTCCTGTCGCTTCTGTTCAGCTTCACCATGTAACATGTCAGTCTCTGCAGACAATTTTATTGCCTCCAACTCTTGTTTGCGTCTTTCAAGGTTTGTCGAGAGATTGGTCTCAAGCTCCGCTTTTCTTGTTTCAGTCTATCAAAGGAGAATATACAAATCAGACCAAATAATCTCATGCAGTCTTAAGATTTTGTATTTGTCAAAACCCCACAAGAATTCATTGGCAAACCTCTACGCGATTTGTCCTGCAGGCAATAAGTTCTTCTTTCAGCTCCGTTATTTCAGGATTTAATCGAGAGAGGGAATCTTTTTCCTCTGGTGTCAAGTGATCAACAAGTTCTGTTCCCATCTCATCTCGTTTCATAGTCATACTAGCTCCAAGCTGATCAATTTGAGTCAATACGTTTGCGAGCAACTTTTCCTGCATACATATAATTAAAACAGTAAATACTCGATCAAGCAGAAAATAACTTGCACTTTTTAATACCTTCTTCTCAAGTGCTTTAGAAATGGATTGTTTCTGTTTATCAGCATTAGCAATGTCCTGCTTAAGCTGTTCCAATTCTGATCTGTCGTGAGCCAGCTTGGCATCACTTTTTTGCTGCTCAGCAACAATTTCATTAATTTTCTGGTCTATCTGTAGGGAACTTAAGTAAAAACAGAAGATGAAAGTAGAATTGAAAAAAATGGAAAAGAACTGGAATAATAGGATCTGCAGAACACAGACGAAGGAAAGTCAACAAGTATACAGTACTCATTTTATGCACCACAATTCAGAAGCAAAGCATACTGATGGCAATGTAGATAACACCCACAGAAGAAACTACAAGTCCTATTCAAAAAAAGAAAAATAAGTTACTACAAGTCTGCAATTTACCCAGTTTTCCCCTTCTAAGGGAACTAAATTTTCCACACCCTATAAAAAAAAGCACTGGTAAACAACCTCAGTATGACAAAGCCAATAGAACAGTGTAATCAGGATATTGAACAGTAGTTTGACCAATTCAGTAAAGAAGGATTGTAGTCCATTTCACTCCCTTGACCAAATTAATTTCTACTTACTAGGATCATGAAAATATGTACAAATAAACAGACATCCTGAAAGTTAATTTTGATCNAGATGGTTCAAACTTACAGTTATAGATATCATCTATCAGTCAGCAATATAGAAAAAAAGACAAAAAAGTTCACTGCAATAGTCTACAATGGAGGAATATTAAAAATTTAGCAATGAGTATTACGTTTCAAAAGCATCTGAAGATAATGGACCCAATTCCCTGATTTTTTTTGAGTACTCTTCTTGTTTGGTGACAAGCATGTTTCTTTTACCCAACAGTTGTTCCAGTTCTTTTGCTTCATCCTGAAGGGTCCCTTGATAGTCATCTTCCAATGTCTGCATTTGAAAGGAATCTTAATGTTATCAGCAACCAAAAAAAAAAAAAAAACCAAACATGAACCTTCTGAGAAGACGACCTTTAACTTATTCTGCTCATCTTTGATCTTCTTGAGTTTTTTATTCCGTTCATCTATACTTTCAGAAGCTCCTGTGTGAGATACATTTTATAAATACACAATACCACGAATTGAATAGGTTGGGATGGAAATAAGGCAGAAAGATTCTGAAGCTCTCACTTTTGAGCTGCTGTGTCACATCTTCAACTACTAGCTTGGCATCCTTCAGTTCCTGTCGCTTCTGTTCAGCTTCACCATGTAACATGTCAGTCTCTGCAGACAATTTTATTGCCTCCAACTCTTGTTTGCGTCTTTCAAGGTTTGTCGAGAGATTGGTCTCAAGCTCCGCTTTTCTTGTTTCAGTCTATCAAAGGAGAATATACAAATCAGACCAAATAATCTCATGCAGTCTTAAGATTTTGTATTTGTCAAAACCCCACAAGAATTCATTGGCAAACCTCTACGCGATTTGTCCTGCAGGCAATAAGTTCTTCTTTCAGCTCCGTTATTTCAGGATTTAATCGAGAGAGGGAATCTTTTTCCTCTGGTGTCAAGTGATCAACAAGTTCTGTTCCCATCTCATCTCGTTTCATAGTCATACTAGCTCCAAGCTGATCAATTTGAGTCAATACGTTTGCGAGCAACTTTTCCTGCATACATATAATTAAAACAGTAAATACTCGATCAAGCAGAAAATAACTTGCACTTTTTAATACCTTCTTCTCAAGTGCTTTAGAAATGGATTGTTTCTGTTTATCAGCATTAGCAATGTCCTGCTTAAGCTGTTCCAATTCTGATCTGTCGTGAGCCAGCTTGGCATCACTTTTTTGCTGCTCAGCAACAATTTCATTAATTTTCTGGTCTATCTGTAGGGAACTTAAGTAAAAACAGAAGATGAAAGTAGAATTGAAAAAAATGGAAAAGAACTGGAATAATAGGATCTGCAGAACACAGACGAAGGAAAGTCAACAAGTATACAGTACTCATTTTATGCACCACAATTCAGAAGCAAAGCATACTGATGGTAATGTAGATAACACCCACAGAAGAAACTACAAGTCCTATTCAAAAAAAGAAAAATAAGTTACTACAAGTCTGCAATATACCCAGTTTTCCCCTTCTAAGGGAACTAAATTTTCCACACCCTATAAAAAAAAAGCACTGGTAAACAACCTCAGTATGACAAAGCCAATAGAACAGTGTAATCAGGATATTGAACAGTAGTTTGACCAATTCAGCAAAGAAGGATTGTAGTCCATTTCACTCCCTTGACCAAATTAATTTCTACTTACTAGGATCATGAAAATATGTACAAATAAACAGACATCCTGAAAGTTAATTTTGATCCAAAAAAAAATTGCAATGTAGAGATGCTAAATAACCAGAAAAAACTACCAGACCCATCAAAAAGGAGCATCTCGCAAAAGGAGATCAAAAATCTTCCAATGCCAAGACTAAAGGCTCAATATACATAATCACTCTTTCAACAGCCTGTTTCTAGCTTCTCCAGGAATTGCTCGATCCTCTCAATCGCAAAGCAGCAAAGCCTCATTTCACAGTTCTACCTCAAAATTATTTACCACTCACAAACAAAACATAGGGAAACTAATCACCATCAAAGTACATAGCAAAACAAGAGGAAAACCCAAACAACATTCTACAATTGCACAATTAACTGCCTCAAGCCATATGGAAGCAAGTCGCCATAATTTGAAGAGAATGTTTAACAAGTTGGTAATAGACAAGCATATTGCAGCATGATAGCCCCAACGAATGAAAAAAAGCTGCCTTAAATGATGCAATTAACTGATTTACACAACAAACTAACCAGTATACGTAGATGCACCTTAAAAATGCACATCTAGATGAACCAATGCACATCGGTGTGCAAATGCTCTCTCACATACATGTGCAAATATCTTTCTCAATAGATATGTGAGATGAGTAAGTACTTGAAGCACAAAGGCAAGGATCAAATCTGCGCCTGTTATTCAGGAAGAGGACTGGGAACCACCAGACCTACGTGGGTAGGTATTTCTTAGTTATAATCAATGCTAACAACTTCCACGGCAAATACATTAGCATAGGTATAAACCTCAAACAAACAAAATAAAAATATAAAACATTCTCTGTTTGAGCTTGACCATTTCGATAATACCTCGTAAACTAGGATGTGAGCCTTGTGGGCCTCCCTATTCACTGTCTATTGGCTTGAGGCCCTAACACTCAAATATATATATAATAAAACAAATCAAAAGGCAAAATCTTTCAAGGATATCTTGAAGTTTATATCTGACTTTCTCCAGTTCATCTTCTTTCATGTTAATAGACTTCGTATTTTGTCTAATGACATTCATAAACTTCAGTTTTGAGCGTCTATAATCATAAAATCCTCCTGTCATGCCACCTTTCTTGCTCACTTGATCGCCTGAAACATGAAGGGCGAACTATCAGCGCAACAGAGATAGAGACTAACGTAGTCAATACAAAATACAAAGTTCCACAGTGGTAACCTTCCATAGTTATGCAGTCCAGACCATCACTGCGAGCAACCCGTGTAGCAACATCCAAATCTCGGCAAATTACAGTTCTAGCAAATACCTAGCCATACAGTGAAATGTAAAGAACAAAAACGTTAAAGAAAAGAACACACCAAAAATAAAACAGACAAGCAAATTTGAGACATTACATACCCCTAAAAGTCCATAATAGCATTTTAAAACGGATCCTACCCACTTAATTTTTTTCTCAAACCCAATATTTCCTAAAATGAATAATACAGCATCCAGAGGTTAAAATATTTCTTAAAGAACATTGATGCAGTCCAGAATAAAGCTCTCAACAAAAGATAATAAGTTTGAAAGTCATTCGATCAACTTGTAGGACCCACATCAAATACTCGACTTAAGAATTCTGATATAGGAACACATTCACCTGTTTTTAGGACAATAATAAACTTTAGTCTTGGAATTTTTGAACAGATAAGAACTTCACATACAGAGAGACATATACATCAAGATCATGTTGACAAGAACCTTGTTTTTTGGGCTGCACAGTAATACTCCAAATATGAACAAGGAAGCTCCCTGTTCTATCAAAAAAAGAGTTCCATTGGAAGAAGTTGATGATGAAGATCCTTCAAAATGTGGTACGATTGAAATCATCCAAAAAGCAATACCAGCAATCCATGTGCATGGTTGTTCCCCTTATTTTCACAAGAGGTCTTCTTAACAACTCAACTCAACAAATACTTAATCCCAACCATCTGGAGTCGGCTACATAAATCTTATTTCTCCGTTGCACTCTATCAAGGGTCAAATGTTCCGTTCATCCATAAGCTATTAGATCCTTTTGTACTATTTTGTTCACAGTTATTTTAAATCTACCTCTACCTCTAGCATTATCATCGATATGTATCAAATCACTCTTCTTTACCAATACATTATTAAGACTTCTAGAAATATGTCTAAACCAACTAAGTTGATTCTATCTTAATTTATCTCCTATTGGTGCTACTTCTATGATTTTATGAATATGCTCATTTCTAATTTTATCCTTTCTCGTTTTACGATACATCCATCTTAATATTCTCATTTTTGCAACACTTAGTTTTTGAGTATGTTGTTTCTTAATTGCCCAACATTCCATCTAATAAAGCATTGTTAATCTAATGGTTGTCTTATAAAAACTTACCTTTCAACTTAAAGGGGTATATATCGATCACATAATGCACCAGCTGCATTCCTCCATTTAGTCCATCATACCTTAATTCTATGATTAACATCATCTCCAATCTCTCCCTCCCTATGCCTAATTGACCTCAAATATCTAAAGTATTCACTCTTGGGTATCTCTTAATCTTCGATATTTATCCTAAATCTTTTTGATTATGAAATTTCTCTCCAAACTTATGGTTTGTGGTTAAATCCTACTTTAGTTTCATCAATCAACCCTATCATCGGCAAATAATATACACCTCATCCTGAATATGTTTGGTCAATTCATCCATAATTAAGATAAAGAGAAATAGACTTAAAGTGGAAACCTAATGTAGGCCTACCCTGATCGTGAATTCACTACTTTTTCTTGCAGTTATTCTAACTATGGTCAATGCATCTTTGTACATATCCTTAATCATATCAATAAATGTATTTGTAACTCTCTTCTCTAAAACCATATTATGTCCCTAGACACTCTTATCATATGTTTTTTTCTAAGTCTATAAACAACATACGAAGATCTTTCAAACTATTCCTATTTTTGGGCATCCATGTCGAAGGAGTTTCAGACTATTCATCTTTTTCGTGATACTTCAAGTTAAACAGCTTCATGTGGAATGCAGTTTTGTTTTGCTTTCTTTCTTTTTTTTATCTATCTTCGTTTCGATTTGTCTTTGGTTTGTACTACTTGTCCACCATTGACTTCCTTTTGTAATTTTGTTTTATCTTTATGATTAATGATATTATCGTCTCCTATAAAAAAAAAACTTGTCACAAAAAAGCATTAGTGTTCTTCTATTCATAAACAAGTGGTAGTGCTCTTAAAAAAGTTGTAGTGCCCTTAGCAAATCTGCATTTTATCCTTTTGTTTGTTCTAGTGTTCTTGGTGGGTATGATACTCGTATTATGTGTGGGTGAACCTATAAAATTAAAATCATACCATCCATCTCCTAGTTACAATTAATGTTAGGTACCATTTCATATAACAAAACATTTTATATCATCAAAAGAATATGCAAGAAATAGAAGTATTAAAAACCGGATGTGTTAATTTGCAGTTGAACACACAAACAGTGAGTCGATCATCATAACAATTTGATGAATTGTCTGATAATCCTAACTATTATAAAAGTAATATTCAACAGGAAACAAAACCTTCTATCAGAGCTAACCTGGGCAAATGCTGGAGTATAATCACGAGAGAATCTCAATTTCTTTAAAAGAGGTATCACATCAGAACTCTCTGGATAAGCAACTTGTGGAGCCTTCACCCTGTTCAATGGAATAAATGTAACTCTTCCACCTTTCTGTGCATTAAGATGTCGAATTATTTGGGTTGATATTCCATCATTCTCAACCACCACGTGAAATAAGCTGTGCAAAAAAAAAAAAATGAAATTACACAAACAATCACAGGAACAGCAGTTGTTAGTATACTCCTACGTGATGTGCCAGCTCACCATAATACAATAATACGGACCTTTAATAAAAGAAGCTCACAGTGGTCTTTCTGCTTACCTGTTTCCGGCAGTAACTTCAACGGCAGTAAAAAACTTTTCATCACAATCAAGCAACTCAAAAATCGGACCAAATACCCCAGAAATCTCATATTCTCTGCATATCCTCCTAACTGTATTCAGTCCTCTTCGAATATCCTGAGAAATTTAACTCTCACGTAGGGATCGTAATAACGAATATTAATAGGCAAAAAACTGCAGACAACCCCCCCCCCTTCTTTTTAAAAAAAAAAAAATCTGTGCAAAGAATGATTTTCAACCTTTTTGAGGCCAGAGAATAAACAAAAAGCACTTTTATAAGAAATTTTGACTAACAGAGATTTGTCTATATCAAAAAAAAGGCACATAAGAATTCATGATTAAACTGCCTTTCTCCCTTCTTTTCTTTCAGTTTTTTTGCAGCTAGTATCATTGCAATAATCTGGTATCAATAGCATATCTTCCATTTTTTTGTTCTACGGGAGAAATTAATAAAATATCAGAAAATTATAGAAATCAACCTCTGTTACTTATCTCTTCTACTTTTCCTCTATCAATATTTCACTTCTTATCAAAAAACAAAAGAAAACTACCAAAGGCAATTATCCAATCTAAGGCAATTATCCAATCTAGTCCCCCGCTACTTAAGGAGCTGAACCGTGAACTAGGCACCAGAATAATCTGTTCCATTATTGCACGGTGTGGCTGCCCTTACATTCAATCTACAACCTCATGAAAGAGCTTTGAGCACTAAACCAAAAATGGCTCACAAAGATGAAGATGACAATCCAATCTTGACCCAAAGCCATCAAGAATAGGCCTCTCAGATTCTTCATATAATAATAACTTGCACTAAAGTCCATCAACCTTATATCTGTTAATGCTATTAAGTTCTTCAAAAATTCTAGCATGATTAAATTGCCATAATGCGTGAGTATGGAACATTGCCTTTTCCTTCAATTTTTTTTGATGCATTTTTCATATTATCCAAATGCAATTTTTTGTATAATATCCAATTGTAAGTGCTTTCAATGAAAACTTTGTACTCAAATTTCTTAAAATGGAGCACATTGCTACTTTTTTGTTTGATTGAGAATAAAATATTAGAATTTCAATCTTTCATGGTGTAAGAAGGAGGAAGAGTTTTATTAGAGAGATAGCAACAAAATTGGATGAAATTGTGAGAGATCCTTTGTTGATTGCTAATGAGATCACTAGGTTCTATAAAAGGTTGTATACGAATGGTATTCCCTTTAGATCTAGTATTGAAAGTATTTATTGGTATCCTTTAATGTTTGAGCGGGCAACTTGGTTAGAGAGGCCATTTGAGAAAAGAGAAGTTAAAAATGCTGTTTTTTATATGGGCAAGGAGAAAGCTCTAGATCCTGATGGTTTTTTTTCGATAATAAAACAAACTTCCATTTCACAGAAGGTGAATAAAGTACATGGATGTCGGATAAGAAATCCACCTTAAAACAAAAGAAAAACAACAAAGTAGGTAGATGCATAGTTATTAGTATCGTACGATACGTCACGATACACATGAAAAACGATACGTATCGTGTCTCTTTATCATTTTTGCACCGTATCGTACGATACACAATAAGCTACGCCCGATACGTACAATACGTGATGATTCTGTTTTTTTATTTTTTATTTTTTGTTTCTTGGGGTTGAAATGATATTGTTTTACCCTAAAACTTATTTTTAAATCACTAACTAGTAAAACAACGTCATTTCAGTGGTTATAGTTTAAAATAAATAAATAAAGTCTAATGTTAATGTTGTTCAATTCAATTCAAAATTTTTAATTAATATTAAAATTGTTCAAGCAATTGATGTTAGAAGTTTAAATTAGACGNATTCTGTTTTTTTATTTTTTATTTTTTGTTTCTTGGGGTTGAAATGATATTGTTTTACCCTAAAACTTATTTTTAAATCACTAACTAGTAAAACAACGTCATTTCAGTGGTTATAGTTTAAAATAAATAAATAAAGTCTAATGTTAATGTTGTTCAATTCAATTCAAAATTTCTAATTAATATTAAAACTGTTCAAGCAATTGATGTTAGAAGTTTAAATTAGAGGNCTAGTCCCCCGCTACTTAAGGAGCTGAACCGTGAACTAGGCACCAGAATAATCTGTCCCATTATTGCACGGTGTGGCTGCCCTTACATTCAATCTACAACCTCATGAAAGAGCTTTTACCACTAAACCAAAAATGGCTCACAAAGATGAACATGACAATCCAATCTTGACCCGAAGCCATCAAGAATAGGCCTCTCAGATTCTTCATATAATAATAACTTGCACTAAAGTCCATCAACCTTATATCTGTTAATGCTATTAAGTTCTTCAAAAATTCTAGCATGATTAAATTGCCATAATGCGTGAGAATGGAACATTGCCTTTTCCTTCAATTTTTTTTGATGTATTTTTCATATTATCCAAATGCAATTTTTTGTATAATATCCAATTGTAAGTGCTTTCAATGAAAACTTTGTACTCAAATTTCTTAAAATGGAGCACATTGCTACTTTTTTGTTTGATTGAGAATAAAATATTAGAATTTCAATCTTTCATGGTGTAAGAAGGAGGAAGAGTTTTATTAGAGAGATAGCAACAAAATTGGATGAAATTGTGAGAGATCCTTTGTTGATTGCTAATGAGATCACTAGGTTCTATAAAAGGTTGTATACGAATGGTATTCCCTTTAGATCTAGTATTGAAAGTATTTATTGGTATCCTTTAATGTTTGAGCGGGCAACTTGGTTAGAGAGGCCATTTGAGAAAAGAGAAGTTAAAAATGCTGTTTTTTATATGGGCAAGGAGAAAGCTCTAGATCCTGATGGTTTTTTTTCGATAATAAAACAAACTTCCATTTCACAGAAGGTGAATAAAGTACATGGATGTCGGATAAGAAATCCACCTTAAAACAAAATAAAAACAACAAAGTAGGTAGATGCATAGTTATTAGTATCGTACGATACGTATCGTGTCTCTGTATCGTTTTTGCACCGTATCGTACGATACACAATAAGATACGCCCGATACGTACAATACGTGATGATTCTGTTTTTTTATTTTTTATTTTTTGTTTCTTGGGGTTGAAATGATATTGTTTTACCCTAAAACTTATTTTTAAATCACTAACTAGTAAAACAACGTCATTTCAGTGGTTATAGTTTAAAATAAATAAATAAAGTCTAATGTTAATGTTGTTCAATTCAATTCAAAATTTTTAATTAATATTAAAACTGTTCAAGCAATTGATGTTAGAAGTTTAAATTAGAGGTGATTGCATTTTGATATTACTGAACTATGTTGGAAACTTAAATAGTTGGTGGAATATTAATGAAATACTATGTTATTATGAGTCTATGACTTTTTTATAAAGATATATACATATATTTTATTAATAATTATTTAAAAATTAAAATTGCACATATCTTACAANAAATACCCCAGAAATCTCATATTCTCTGCATATCCTCCTAACTGTATTCAGTCCTCTTCGAATATCCTGAGAAATTTAACTCTCACGTAGGGATCGTAATAACGAATATTAATAGGCAAAAAACTGCAGACAACCCCCCCCCCTTCTTTTTAAAAAAAAAAAAATCTGTGCAAAGAATGATTTTCAACCTTTTTGAGGCCAGAGAATAAACAAAAAGCACTTTTATAAGAAATTTTGACTAACAGAGATTTGTCTATATCAAAAAAAAGGCACATAAGAATTCATGATTAAACTGCCTTTCTCCCTTCTTTTCTTTCAGTTTTTTTGCAGCTAGTATCATTGCAATAATCTGGTATCAATAGCATATCTTCCATTTTTTTGTTCTACGGGAGAAATTAATAAAATATCAGAAAATTATAGAAATCAACCTCTGTTACTTATCTCTTCTACTTTTCCTCTATCAATATTTCACTTCTTATCAAAAAACAAAAGAAAACTACCAAAGGCAATTATCCAATCTAAGGCAATTATCCAATCTAGTCCCCCGCTACTTAAGGAGCTGAACCGTGAACTAGGCACCAGAATAATCTGTTCCATTATTGCACGGTGTGGCTGCCCTTACATTCAATCTACAACCTCATGAAAGAGCTTTGAGCACTAAACCAAAAATGGCTCACAAAGATGAAGATGACAATCCAATCTTGACCCAAAGCCATCAAGAATAGGCCTCTCAGATTCTTCATATAATAATAACTTGCACTAAAGTCCATCAACCTTATATCTGTTAATGCTATTAAGTTCTTCAAAAATTCTAGCATGATTAAATTGCCATAATGCGTGAGTATGGAACATTGCCTTTTCCTTCAATTTTTTTTGATGCATTTTTCATATTATCCAAATGCAATTTTTTGTATAATATCCAATTGTAAGTGCTTTCAATGAAAACTTTGTACTCAAATTTCTTAAAATGGAGCACATTGCTACTTTTTTGTTTGATTGAGAATAAAATATTAGAATTTCAATCTTTCATGGTGTAAGAAGGAGGAAGAGTTTTATTAGAGAGATAGCAACAAAATTGGATGAAATTGTGAGAGATCCTTTGTTGATTGCTAATGAGATCACTAGGTTCTATAAAAGGTTGTATACGAATGGTATTCCCTTTAGATCTAGTATTGAAAGTATTTATTGGTATCCTTTAATGTTTGAGCGGGCAACTTGGTTAGAGAGGCCATTTGAGAAAAGAGAAGTTAAAAATGCTGTTTTTTATATGGGCAAGGAGAAAGCTCTAGATCCTGATGGTTTTTTTTCGATAATAAAACAAACTTCCATTTCACAGAAGGTGAATAAAGTACATGGATGTCGGATAAGAAATCCACCTTAAAACAAAAGAAAAACAACAAAGTAGGTAGATGCATAGTTATTAGTATCGTACGATACGTCACGATACACATGAAAAACGATACGTATCGTGTCTCTTTATCATTTTTGCACCGTATCGTACGATACACAATAAGCTACGCCCGATACGTACAATACGTGATGATTCTGTTTTTTTATTTTTTATTTTTTGTTTCTTGGGGTTGAAATGATATTGTTTTACCCTAAAACTTATTTTTAAATCACTAACTAGTAAAACAACGTCATTTCAGTGGTTATAGTTTAAAATAAATAAATAAAGTCTAATGTTAATGTTGTTCAATTCAATTCAAAATTTCTAATTAATATTAAAACTGTTCAAGCAATTGATGTTAGAAGTTTAAATTAGAGGTGATTGCATTTTGATATTACTGAACTATGTTGGAAACTTAAATAGTTGGTGGAATATTAATGAAATACTATGTTATTATGAGTCTATGACTTTTTTATAAAGATATATACATATATTTTATTAATAATTATTTAAAAATTAAAATTGCACGTATCTTACGATACACAATATACGATACGATACAATACATTATTTTTAAAAAACGATACGCCTTCTGATACACAATTTGACAACTATGGATAGATGTTGCATTCCAATTATGTTGCAAGACCAACAAAGAAGTGTCCCTAAAATGATTTTTAAGTCACCGCCCAAAGAGAATCTAAAAACTTCACTCTATCCCACAACAGCTCTTTACCCTCCCCCTGCTTGAAAAAGTTATGCGATTCCTCTCTAACCATATCACCCACATAATAGTCATAAACACTCATCTCCATAGTATTGATGCTTTTTCCCACCTTCAAATCCATTTAACCACACCATAAATAAAAACACACAATCGTAAGGAATAACCCACACTAATTGTGATTCCTGCCAGAGCTTATGCCACAAATCCATAGCTATGGGAACTGGTGATCAACACTTTCATTACTATCTTTCCACAAAATACACCAACTAGGAGAAAGATAATTGTTAGGCCTTCTCTTTTGCAACAAGCTGCAATCACAAGTGTTCACCTTACAATAAAGGAATTGTATTTAAAGCGGAATTTGAGAAGGCATATGATTGGGTAAATTGGAGTTTTCTGGATTGTGTGATGAGACATAAAGGATTTGGGAGAGATAGAGAAAGTGGATTAAAGGATGTTTCTCTTTTACCTTTTGCAGTGTTGGTGACTGTTGAACCCAAAGAGTGGTAAAATACTTTCAAGGGTTAAGGCAAGGGGCATTATCCCCTTTTCTTTTCAATTTGGTTGTTAATGTTTTGAGTAGAATGTTTTATAGAGCTAAAGAGGTGGGTTTAGTTGAAAGGATGAAAGTGGAGAAGAAAGTATAAATGTGTCACATTTGTTTTTTACTGATGATACAATATTCTTTTTGTGAGGCAAAATTGAGGATTTTGAAAATGTGTTTTTACTGCTAAAACTTTTTGGTGAAGTTTTTGATTTAGAAATTAATATGTCTAACAATAGAGTAGTAGGTATTACTTTGGTGCATTAGGTTTTGAGAGAATTTTCTACTTCATCAAGATGTGTAATTCATGAGTGGCCTATAAGTTATTTGGACTTGTGTAATCCTATATCCTTATCATTTTGGGATCCAATTATGGCGAGGGTAAGAAGGAGATTAGATGGTTGGAAGAAAACATATTTTTCTTTAAGAGGACATATTATTTTGATTAGATCTTATTTGTCTAGTATTCCTTATTTATTATTTGTCTTTATTTAGAATCTCAGTAGGTGTTGCTCAAAAATTAGAGAAGATGATGAGAGGCTTTCTTTGGCCAAGTGTAGAGGAGGATAAAAGAGACTATTTCCCGAGTTGCAAGGTAATATGTAAGCTAATAAATGAGGGGTTTGAGACTTGGTAATTTGTTGTCTAAAAATGTTTCTCTGTTTTGGGAAATAGTTATGGAGATTTCCTTTGAAAATTAATTCTCTTTGGCATAAGATAANAGAGAAGATGATGAGAGGCTTTCTTTGGCCAAGTGTAGAGGAGGATAAAAGAGACTATTTCCCGAGTTGCAAGGTAATATGTAAGCTAATAAATGAGGGGTTTGAGACTTGGTAATTTGTTGTCTAAAAATGTTTCTCTGTTTTGGGAAATAGTTATAAGGAATAAGTATATGCTCTATTAGAACGGTTGGGATGCTAGATCTGATTATAATGCAAGTCCTAGATGTCCTTGAAAATTCATTTCTCAGGTGTATCCTTCTTTTTTTTTCATTAGTTCGTTATAAGACGGTGGATGGATTCAAGGTTCTAATTTGGGAGCATACACTGGGAAGGTGATGGGAAGGATGGATCCAGGATTCTATTTTGCGATAATACGTGGGAAGGTGATGGGTGGGATGCAAATGGGGTTGAAAGAGGTACTTTCTAAAGTCCATGGAAACTTATATCTCAGGAGTTACTTAGCTTTACTCAGAGAATGAAGTTTAATGTGGGGGATCATTTGGAGGGGGAGAAAGAGGGGGGGGGGGGGGGGGGGTGTTNGGGGGGGGGGGGGGGGGGGGGGGGGGGGGGGGGGGGGGGGGGGGGGGGGGGGGGGGGGGGGGGGGGGGGGGGGGGGGGGGGGGGGGGGGGGGGGGGGGGGGGGGGGGGGGGGGGGGGGGGGGGGGGGGGGGGGGGGGGGGGGGGGGGGGGGGGGGGGGGGGGGGGGGGGGGGGGGGGGGGGGGGGGGGGGGGGGGGGGGGGGGGGGGGGGGGGGGGGGGGGGGGGGGGGGGGGGGGGGGGGGGGGGGGGGGGGGGGGGGGGGGGGGGGGGGGGGGGGGGGGGGGGGGGGGGGGGGGGGGGGGGGGGGGGGGGGGGGGGGGGGGGGGGGGGGGGGGGGGGGGGGGGGGGGGGGGGGGGGGGGGGGGGGGGGGGGGGGGGGGGGGGGGGGGGGGGGGGGGGGGGGGGGGGGGGGGGGGGGGGGGGGGGGGGGGGGGGGGGGGGGGGGGGGGGGGGGGGGGGGGGGGGGGGGGGGGGGGGGGGGGGGGGGGGGGGGGGGGGGGGGGGGGGGGGGGGGGGGGGGGGGGGGGGGGGGGGGGGGGGGGGGGGGGGGGGGGGGGGGGGGGGGTCCTTGGGGGGGGGGGGGGGGGGGGGGGGGGTGTCTTCATTTTTTACTCTATTTCCCGGTCTTTATCATATATCTTGCTATCTTGGGAAATGCATTGCATCTTTAGTTACATCCTTTTTTTTCGTTTTCTTAGGATTTTGAATTTCGTAGGAATCTTAAAGGAACAATCGGAGTTGTTGGTACTACTTTCTATGCTTCATAGTGCTTCTTATGCCAAAGCTCTTCGGATAAATGATCCTTCGCCTAAATTTTCTTGCAAATCCTACTTTGAATTCTTAATTGATAATCCTTCACTTCCACTATTTCTTCTATTAGTTAAGATTTAGGGTAAGATGTGTAAATTTATGCATGGATAATTACTCATGGTAAGATTAATACTAATGATCTGCTTCAAAGAAGGAGACCTATGAATTGTCTTTTGCCAAAACGATGCGTGATGTGTAGAAGAGATTGTGAAAGTATAGACCATTTATTCTTGCATTGTCCTGCGACTTTATCATTATGGAATAAGTTGTTTGCATTAGTTGGCATTTGTTGGGCTGCTTCGAGATCTACGTCATCTATATTTTGTTTGGATTTTCAAGATTTGGGTAGAAGCAAAAAAAGAAAAACTCTTTGGCATTTTGCCTTTTTTGTCACTATTTGGGTTTTATGGATGGAGAGAAATGCAAGATTTTTTTGAAGATAAACCAAAGAAAATTGATGGGTTGTAGAGTTGACTTTTTTTTTTCTTAACCTCTTTTTGGGCATCTAAAGATTTTGAAGATGGACCACTATTTAGTATAACAAGTTGGACAGCACTATGTGGACGATAATTGTTACTAATATTGATTATGTTTCTTATTTTGTTCTTTACAATCGTTAGGGGTGGACGACTTGTCCATCTTATTTGGTTTTTGTAACACCTTTTTATTTATATTATTAATAATATTGACATTTCTTATCGGAAAAAAAAATTAATACTGTTTTTCCACGACTTTATAGCCTTTCTTCTCTCCATGAGGCTCCTATTTCTAATTATATTATTAGGAGAGAACTCTTATTCTTGGGATTTATAGTTCTTTAGGAGTCTGAATGACAGCGAAGTAGAGGATTTGACATCTTTGATTCTTATTCTTCAAAATTTCTATCCTAATAATTTTCTTTATTGTAAAATTTGGACCAAGGATGATTCAGGTATTCTCTCTTGTAAATTTTTTTACTCCTATCTTGTTAGTTTGATACTGCCCATTCTTTTTCTTTTGATAAGTTCATTTGGAAGGTAAAGAGTACTTCTAAAGTAAAGGCTTTTGTTTGGTCTTTGGCGTTCAATAGGGTGAATACTAATGACACGTTAAAGGTGAGACCACCTTAAAAAGCTTTGAATCCTGATGTATGTTCTATTTGCATGAGAGATGGAGAGTCCAATGGCCATTTATTTATTCATTGTTCTTTTGTTAGGCGATTGTGGAACAAATTGTTTAATGTGTTGGGCAAGGCATAAGTTTGTCCGACTTATGTACTGGAAATGTTGCAGAATAAATTTAGAGGATGAGTAAAGAAGGCAAGATTTTGGGGAGTTGTGTTTTGATGGAGATTTTTTGGAATATTTGGTCAAAGTGGAACTCAAGAATATTCAAAAATCAATTCCTTACATTGCATTTGGTTTGGGATAGAATTGCATTTCACGCCTACTAATGGTCTACGTCCCCAGGAAAATTCAGAGGTTTACCTTTGGTGGATCTTCAAAGGGATTGGAAGGTGACTATGATTTAATGTTTTTTTTCCTTTTCCTGTTTTGTTGTTTTTTCTTTGTGAGGATATCTTGTCCTCCATATTGTAATTTTTTATCTCTTCTCCATCTTAATACAATTATTCTGTTATCAAAAAAAATGAGAACGCAAAGATCTTCCCGGGTGCAAAGTGTCATTTGCCCAAATAAAATGGTCAGAAGGACCCATGACTTGTCACAAGGTGTCGGAGCAGTTGACTGCCACATAGGTCACATACCTTTTCAACTATAAACAAAAACAAGATAATAAAATAGAAAACGAAAAAAGAAACGATGAACTTCCAAAAAAGAAAAAAGGAAATGAGCTGCTCCTATCAGTCGCACGAGAAAGTGATTACTCACACCAGGAGTGGCATGATCCAGACTTTTCTCTGCTTTCACGACTTCTGTTTTAAGCAGTTCAATTTCAGCTGTTACTTCGCTTTCTTTTCCCCACAACGACCTGAACAATGAGACAAGTAGTTAAAAGTGAACAAAACAGATTTACTTTCATAAAAGCCTAATACAGAAATGAAAGACAGTCATACTTTCGCTCATCATGCAGCTTGTCTCGTTGTGCCTTATACTGATTGAAACCTTCTCGATACCCAGATATGAGGGATTCTAAAGCTGCTTTTTCAGTTTGGCGACCCTTAAAGTATGATTCCTGCTCTTTCAGCTCGAGCTTAAGCTGATCAATTTCATCCCTAAGTTTATCCTTCTGAAACACGAAATTATGAAAGAAAAAAATGGTATTTTTAGGATTATTCGCGTCATGATAATTCCAAAAAAAATGAAATTGCACCACTAAGGAAGAATTTTAAAGACTAAGATTTAGAAGCAGTGTAGATAAAAGCAATAAAAACTCCATATTTATGAATCTGATTCATTGGAAAAAAGTGAGAAAAAAAATGCATCAGGGGCGAGACTTTCTCTGAGTTTCCAGTTAAACATTTCACCAGAGCAGAGGGCATCGAAACAAGGTCTGTAGTGTACAGCACACGCGAGAAAAGATGACCATGCACTGAAAAATCAAGTCCCCTCTTCCACAAGGCCCTTCATCGTAATCCATATTGCTTGGGGGTAGGGGATGTTCAAATGGATTATCATCTCAGCTATGACCAAAAGGAAGTTATGAAATTCCCTAGGGGAGTTGCAAATCAATGCATCACATCATCTAATTTGAGAAACTCAAGGGGGGAACACACATTATAACACAAGAGAAAAAAGAGAAGACTTCTCCATTAATGCTCCTTACTAAGCACTATAAAAGCCAAGTGCCAAGCAAAATTACGAGACAAAAAAATAGTCGCAATGATNGAAACTCAAGGGGGGAACACACATTATAACACAAGAGAAAAAAGAGAAGACTTCTCAATTAATGCTCCTTACTAAGCACTATAAAAGCCAAGTGCCAAGCAAAATTACGAGACAAAAAAATAGTCGCAATGGTACAAAATAAATCATCATAGTGGCCGATCTGAGCAGTGAGTAATTATTAATAACTGAAAAGCAGCAATTACAAACAAACATAGCCATTTCAATTTCTATACAAGTTTGTGCATGTGTAGAAATATCCATATTTTCCTCCAAGATATCGACTCTAGTTTCTGAAAGGAGCTCAGGTTATTCAACATACATCGTAAGCCTAATCTGCCCTTTCTCATGTTTGATTGGGCAGCATGAATCCGGACTATATATTGGATTATATAGCATCCTTAACCATATACCAAAATAGTGTTTTTAAAGCCTCAATGAGCCATTTAATCCGTGGGCATGGTATTATATAATGGAAAAAGACACAAATTACCATTTTTCTCCCAAATGGCCTAATCTCCAATCTGCAGATCACTTTTTCACGTGACATAAGGTATTTTCTCCTGCACCTAGGTGGCGCATAGGTGTCCTCCTCATCCTCTCTCTTTCCCACCCAATCTCCCCTTTTCAAAATCACAATCGAGTCCGATTTCGAATCTTAGAACTTGGAACCATACATTCGGTGTCCTTGGGTGCAATGATCAAAATTTCAATTCAAAATGGAGAAAACATTAACATTTCCAAGGAGACCGAAATGTTTCGAAATCATTCCAAAATGTTTCTATTTCCTACGTGACCAAAACAATGCACTAAAACGAAATTTTGATCCTTACTTGTGTGTAATTTCGGTGTACATGAGTAGTGCCCTAATTTATTATCTTTTTATTTTGAAAAAAAGGGGGCTGACAAGAAATATACGAAACACCGTAGAGCCTATTGGCCATCAAGACACTTCTTCAGACACCGACATTCTTCGAACTTGTGTTCGATACTCTTTTATCCTGTCCAAAATTAAATGATAAACTCTTAATTTCGGACACGAGTTCGACGTTTCTTTGGTAATGTGTCCTAACATTTCTTTCGACTGTATCTACTACTAAACAATAAGCATTTACATTTAACTTCGAAAATTTAAAAATTTGACTAATAAGTATTTTACACTATGAGAGAACATATAATTATTAATACTAGACATGTTAAAATTGTACTCAAAACATAATAATAAAAGCAAAAAATGCATAAAAGTTTAAATAAGAGAAATTAAGAAAAATGAAAAGAATCATTTGACCTATATATGTTGGGTATACATTGTTTACAAAATCATTTATGATTACTTATCTGTTATGATGCTTTAGTCTAAAAATTCACACAAGATGACTAAACATAACATTTACTTATCATAAAAAATAATTTTTTTATAAATATTATATCATTATCCATATATTTGTGACAAATTATATAGTTTTATATATAACACACATTTATCTTTGACATGTTTGCAACATGTTTGTGTCCTACTTTTTAAGAAATGTCGTGTCCGTGCCCGTGCCCGTGCCCGTGCCNAACATTTCCAAGGAGACCGAAATGTTTCGAAATCATTCCAAAATGTTTCTATTTCCTACGTGACCAAAACAATGCACTAAAACGAAATTTTGATCCTTACTTGTGTGTAATTTCGGTGTACATGAGTAGTGCCCTAATTTATGATCTTTTTATTTTGAAAAAAAGGGGGCTGACAAGAAATATACGAAACACCGTAGAGCCTATTGGCCATCAAGACACTTCTTCAGACACCGACATTCTTCGAACTTGTGTTCGATACTCTTTTATCCTGTCCAAAATTAAATGATAAACTCTTAATTTCGGACACGAGTTCGACGTTTTTTTGGTAATGTGTCCTAACATTTCTTTCGACTGTATCTACTACTAAACAATAAGTATTTACATTTAACTTCTAAAATTTAAAAATTTGACTAATAAGTATTTTACACTATGAGAGAACATATAATTATTAATACTAGACATGTTAAAATTGTACTCAAAACATAATAATAAAAGCAAAAAATGCATAAAAGTTTAAATAAGAGAAATTAAGAAAAATGAAAAGAATCATTTGACCTATATATGTTGGGTATACATTGTTTACAAAATCATTTATGATTACTTATCTGTTATGATGCTTTAGTCTAAAAATTCACACAAGATGACTAAACATAACATTTACTTATCATAAAAAATAATTTTTTTATAAATATTATATCATTATCCATATATTTGTGACAAATTATATAGTTTTATATATAACACACATTTATCTTTGACATGTTTGCAACATGTTTGTGTCCTACTTTTTAAGAAATGTCGTGTCCGTGCCCGTGCCCGTGCCCGTGCCCGTGCCCGTGCCCGTGCTTCTTAAGTCGTGCGGCCCACAAATACTATGCATCCAAAGCCTATGTACTCTTTCTATCTAGGCAAAAAATTTGCACTATATCACCAAATTCTGTGCACTACCGTACAGAATATGATTTGCTACAGTCCAGTTTAAGAATATGATTAGGGCTCAGTTGCAAGTCAGATTGGAAAACCAGGGATTGAATAGTCTAGTCCAATTCAATCTCATTTTGGCAGATAAACTCGGTACTAGAGCTATGATATGAATTACCCAGTCCAGTCCAGTGTACAATGAAAAATGGGTAAGGGGCAGACAACAATTGTGCAGCCCATACCATTATAAACATTTTAGTTTTGAAACCAATTATAATCATTTGGCAAACCTGTTTTAGCACTGACCTAAATTAGTTTTGGTATGACAGATTGTTGGACAAGTGTGGTTACAGTTGTCTGATTATCCAATGAAACCTTTCCAGCCTGGAATAAAATATATGAACAAGAAAGAAATCCATTTAACAATCAACTCCCTAAAAATGATTTTGGAAGAATTTTTGATACAATACAAAGAATTTTTGATACAATACAATGATAACAAAGCAATCAAGTGAAGGAACAGTACTAGTTTGGAGTGAGAATGAGAAGAGACAGAGAACTTCACATCAACCGGGCTTAACACCAATGCTTGCTTCACTTGCCAGAAAACTTATACAGGAGAGGCACTAAAACAAATGGTGAATTAGATCATAAATTGTTTATTACCATGTTTGGTCCCCATTAGAGTGCTGGGAGGGAGGGATCGGGTATGGACACAACATTTGGCATTATTTGCATAAAGTGGCTGCTGTAAAATTCAACTCACAACTGTATCATTGTTCATCCAAGCATCTTACCCCGCACTAAGCAATGCCTCCTTTTCAAAGATGCAGATTTTATAACTTTTGATCCATTAAAACTAGGCACATAGATGCCAATGCTTTTAATCCAAGAGTAGGATGATCTACAAACTCAACTGCAAGGATTCCAGCAAACTGAGCATCAATAACCTTTGACTTTTTTAAGGACTTTCTCGGGTATCATATGCTGATAAGCTTCCTCTCATTCTTCTTTAGTTCATAGAGCAGCTCTAAGAAATACAAAGCTGTTTTATTGCTTTTTGTAACTATTTTTCAAGTTTTTTCAGAGACACCCTTCCTGTCTCTAACGTACTTATGAATTACGAGACATTAGCTAAGAAGAGAAGGAAAAAAAGAAGGCACGCGCTACTAAATGTACTCTCTTTAAGGGATAAATCATAAATCTAACANCGTACTTATGAATTACGAGACATTAGCTAAGAAGAGAAGGAAAAAAAGAAGGCACGTGCTACTAAATGGACTCTCTTTAAGGGATAAATCATAAATCTAACAGATGCTGCTTTCCCCCATTGGTCCTTCAACAGGGCAGACAAGACAAATGTTCAATGCACCATCCATTGAGAATCAAGATATAGAATAACCTGAAGGAGATTTGAAGACAGAACTCGCTCATACTCATCTATTTCCTTCTGAAGCCATTTGTCACGAGCAGCTTTACTAGCAAATTGGGTGGCACGACCTCGTTTTTGATAAAGAATGCTAAGCTGCTTCTCGCGCACCATTATTCTACATATGATACAAATTCATCAGAAAAGATATAATATAACTGACAGAACTAGGCGAAAATTTTTACAGCTATAGAGAGTCGTTTTTAACAGGTTATGTTGGGGTGCCGCAATGGAAAAAACATTTCAGCAGATGATAATAAAGAACATTCGTGTTATGACTATAAAAGTGTATTAAAAAAAAGGAAAATCTTTTTGGTTTACTTCTTCTCATTAACTTCTGTTTCCTTCTTTTTGTGTTTTTCGTCTTTTTTTTTTTTTTTTGTGGGCTGGGGTGGGGGGTGGTTGAAGGAGGGGTTGTTTGAGGCCGGCTGGGAGTCTTCGCATTTAAGCAGGCTCTTATCAGTACATCACAGCTGCCTTNATTACTTTTTTTTTCTTTTTTTTTTGTTTTTTTTTTTTTTTTTTTTTTTTTTGTGGGCTGGGGTGGGGGGTGGTTGAAGGAGGGGTTGTTTGAGGCCGGCTGGGAGTCTTCGCATTTAAGCAGGCTCTTATCAGTACATCACAGCTGCCTTGTATTAGATTCAACTAAACTAAAATCCCTTTTTCTGGTTGGTATTCAAATGGCAAAAATATCGTCTTAAAACTAGGAGTCAAAGAAATCAAGAATACATGATTAGATACCTCTGATATGATAAGCAATATAATGTCGTTTAACAAAATTCAAGAACTATGAAGTTCTACAGACATACCCTCTCGTAATCTCCTCCTCCTCTTTGACTTGATTATCATACAAAGGCCTGATTTTGTTAAGCTCGTCTGTGGATTTCTGAATTTCATTCTGCAGAAGCTCAAGCTGTTTTGTTGCATCCTCCTAAACCATTAAAAATAAGAATTACCGCATATGCATCTTTTCATAACTGCTTCCTCCACAGTAAATTCAGTATTTCCTTTGCTGGGAAAGGGGAGGGGCCTGCTTGTATATGGGTCATGAATTGGAAGAATACCTTGGCTTTGATATTTCCTAAGATCTTCTCTTGAAGATCCTTGTCATCAAGCTCAAGCTGAGCATGCTTTTTTATGGCTTCTGTCCGCTGCTTCTCTATTGCTTCTTTCTCTCTGTTTAAAATTTGAGCTTCTTTTGTCAGATCTTTGAATAATTTATCTAACTCCTTGGATTTTTCATGTGCATCCAGCACATTGTTGTACTTCTTAGTCGATGTTTCAGAAACTTTGTTTCGAGCCTCTTCTACCTGCATTAGAGATTTAGGCAGTCATCACAATGATACAACAGTTACAAATTAATCAACATGGTTGAGGGCTTGGACACAATGAATTTACAAACTAAGTTGACAATGGTTAAAAAAGCTTATGACAATGAATATCAAAGCAAAGAAATTCTTGTCTTTCAAGGCATACACACAACAAAATCCCTCTCAAAATCATCCAAGGTCAACTACATCAACTGTACAATCTTGGTTAAGCTCTATGTAGGGATATCATGAAAAAGCTCTAGCATTTAATCAAAATTCTACAGGTCAATGTTTACAAAGCATTCATCTGGAATTATAAAGCTGCCTTATCAGCTATGCAACAGAACCTGCCTTTTTCCACCAATGCAAGACCAAAAATGTGACCGTAGAGACTAGAGAGATCGTCCCCAATAAATATGGCAGAGAAGAGGGGTTTGTTTGAAACATAATAAGATATATTTTGATTTAATGGCATTGAGTTGGTGGCACTCCAATGCTCAGGTGCAAAACACCAAGGGTCATATTGACTGTCACAGCAACAGCCCTAACAAAAAGCACACACCACAAGGACAAACAAATTCAAGGTTCCACTATTGAGTGTCATAGCTACAATACTTGAGGGTCATATTGCCATGTCTTCACAACACATTGACCATGAATCATAGGACCCAGACTGTGGCACAGGTAAGATTTCATCCATTAGAAATTTTTCAGATTCAGGAGATCAGGATAAGCAGAATTATCAGATACAAAACACAAATAGATAGGAGTAGGACCATCATGTCGAAACCTGAAAATGGAGGAAGATAGAGAATCAACTCATAATTTAACACTTAGCAAGAATAAACTTCCTCTATACACCCAAGGGAACCTGAAAATCAAGAAGAAGAAAAAAGTTTCAACTAATGTTGCCTTTAGACCAAAGAAATTCTCGAAATTCAGTCTATACCAAGGGTTGAACCACCATTTATGGAATAACTTGCAAGAGTCTAGAGTTCAAACACTTCAAAAGTCACTTCTTGAGTTGCCGCTCATTACAGGAGATTTGCCACTGATATAGTCCCACTATTGTTTCCCACTCCAACATTCACTTGTAATGGTTTGGCCATTCAATGGACTTTTAAGATGCCTTTGAGATTGTGTCTGAAGATTGGTATAACCAGTATATTTTCTTCATTCGTTACCTCCACTCTTTTGTCCCATGCCATCTTCGTGTTCCGATAGACTGGATCATTTCCTGCTTTTCTTATCTTTGGACTTGGTGTATTTGCTTGATTTGCTATCAAATAGGATGTTCTTCCAGTTTTTTTTTGTTGGGGTCCTTGAGGATATGTCAATCCATCAAGGCACTGCCTCCTAAATGCTTGCAGGTATTCTTCTAAGATAAGTCACCAATTCTGGAGCTGTTGCCATTTCTACCTTCTACAGTCATTCTGATCAAGGATAGTATTGAGGTGAAATGCTACTGTCACTTGATGGTTACCCGTGTTATTTTCCCAGATGCAGAATCCTTTTAAGGCTAATCGTGTTTTTTCTGTTATGCTTCATCATCAGGCCCCAATCTTTTGGAGCAACACCATAAGCCTAACACTCTGGGGACAATTGACAACAAATTCCAAAGCGTGGATAGCTTGGATTGAACATTAATTTTAGAAATTTAATTTTGGGCTATTTTATTTTATCAACATTGTTCGTATTTACTACAATTATTAGTTCAGTTACTTTTTTTATTTAGAGAGGACGTGGGGGGGCAACCTATAAAGAGAAGCCTTCAGTAATGGATTCAATATTGCAAACATGGGAAATCTTCTCTAACTTTTTGGTCTCTCAGCCTCTATTATTCTTCTTCTTTCTCTATGCCGCTTTCTATCTTTCTCCTCAAGATCTATTTCTTCTATCCTGATTTCTTTCTTTGATTATCTATTTCTTATTTTTCTGGTCACATATCACTACAAGTCTCAACTTCTAACTCAAGACTATGTAAAACTCATTATATTTTACAATAGCACAAATTTATTATGTTATGGAATACGATAATAGTGCAAATTTCTTATAGATACACTTATATGGTGATGTTAGCTACCTAATCTGAGTTTATTATCACCAAAAATATTAGTTGAACGTATGATGTGAGTTTAGATTAACAACATATCCCATATGATAGCTTATAGCAAAGCACCATCAAAGACCAGTTCTATAAAAAATTCTAGCATCTCCTCTGAAAGTAAAACCAATTTATTAAAAAAATTTAGCATAATTCTTCATAAGAGAGTATTTTTATGCTTTTTAGTTCAGTCTTCAAACTTTTAGGTTTAATCATTGTATATCACTCCACAAAAATATCCACCAAATCTTCATTCTATCAAATTGCTTCTCAAACCTTCAAACCCATAAACGATGCTTCTACATTCACTCCTATTATGGTTTCTGTGATCTATAATTAAAGAATTAAGCGCACAGCTTTACAATGTAACATCACAATTTTATCAACACCAAACCCTTCGCAAAGTTCTCAGCCATGTGACAAGAATTTAATGATATTTGGATTTCACAAAAAAAATCCACCAAGAAAGAGTAAAAAAAACAAAAAATTAAGAATAAGATCCAAATTATAGATATCTTTTTTTTTCCCAAATATTTCCTAGCTATGATTTGCTCTACTACAGTTNATAATTAAAGAATTAAGCGCACAGCTTTACAATGTAACATCACAATTTTATCAACATCAAACCCTTCGCAAAGTTCTCAGCCATGTGACAAGAATTTAATGATATCTGGATTTCACAAAAAAAATCCACCAAGAAAGAGTGAAAAAAACAAAAAATTAAGAATAAGATCCAAATTATAGATATCTTTTTTTTCCCAAATATTTCCTAGCTATGATTTGCTCTACTACAGGTTCTTGTCCGAGTCAATTGTTCATGGTAAGATTAACACATATGGTGTCAAAGAAGAAGACCCACGATTTGATTTTCACCACATTGGTGTATTATGTACAAAGGTGATAGTGAGAGTGTGGGTCATCTTTTCCTACATTGTACCATTATACTTTCACTGTAGGATAAATTGTTTTATCTACTTTCACTATAGGATAAATTGTTTTATCATGTGGGAATTAGTTGGATGAGACCAAGTACTTTTTCATCTATGTTTTGTTTGGATGTTATGGGTGGAGGAAGCAATAAAAGATGGAGGATTCTTTGGAGTTTTCCTTTTGTTTTTTCCGCCATATGAGTTGTTTGGTTAGAAAGGAATGCAAGAATTTTTTTAAGATAAAAGGGAGGAAATGGAAGGTTTATGGGATCGACAGCTTCATGTGGAGTGTTGTTCTGATTTTTTTCAGTGTTTTTCTTGATCAGCCATTGGTTTTGGACAACTTGTCCACCGTTGACTGATTTTGTACTATTTACACATTTTTTGATCAATGATATTTTCATTCTTTATAAGAAAAAAAAAAGTTTCTTGTCCGAGTGTCTTTTTTTTTGGTGATGAAAGAAAAAATTATAAAGGAAATTGTCGTGTTTGAGTCTTTCTAAACCTACCCCCCATCCTAAAACACCTTTTTTCCAATAAAAAAAGGGGGCAAATGATGTTTTGAGGGTGGAGGCATTTGAAGAATAGCAGCATAGTCAGTTTGCCAGGCAAAAACACAGACNTGAAGATTGGTATAACCAGTATATTTTCTTCATTCGTTACCTCCACTCTTTTGTCCCATGCCATCTTCGTGTTCCGATAGACTGGATCATTTCCTGCTTTTCTTATCTTTGGACTTGGTGTATTTGCTTGATTTGCTATCAAATAGGATGTTCTTCCAGTTTTTTTTTGTTGGGGTCCTTGAGGATATGTCAATCCATCAAGGCACTGCCTCCTAAATGCTTGCAGGTATTCTTCTAAGATAAGTCACCAATTCTGGAGCTGTTGCCATTTCTACCTTCTACAGTCATTCTGATCAAGGATAGTATTGAGGTGAAATGCTACTGTCACTTGATGGTTACCCGTGTTATTTTCCCAGATGCAGAATCCTTTGAAGGCTAATCGTGTTTTTTCTGTTATGCTTCATCATCAGGCCCCAATCTTTTGGAGCAACACCATAAGCCTAACACTCTGGGGACAATTGACAACAAATTCCAAAGCGTGGATAGCTTGGATTGAACATTAATTTTAGAAATTTAATTTTGGGCTATTTTATTTTATCAACATTGTTCGTATTTACTACAATTATTAGTTCAGTTACTTTTTTTATTTAGAGAGGACGTGGGGGGGCAACCTATAAAGAGAAGCCTTCAGTAATGGATTCAATATTGCAAACATGGGAAATCTTCTCTAACTTTTTGGTCTCTCAGCCTCTATTATTCTTCTTCTTTCTCTATGCCGCTTTCTCTCTTTCTCCTCAAGATCTATTTCTTCTATCCTGATTTCTTTCTTTGATTATCTATTTCTTATTTTTCTGGTCACATATCACTACAAGTCTCAACTTCTAACTCAAGACTATGTAAAACTCATTATATTTTACAATAGCACAAATTTATTATGTTATGGAATACGATAATAGTGCAAATTTCTTATAGATACACTTATATGGTGATGTTAGCTACCTAATCTGAGTTTATTATCACCAAAAATATTAGTTGAACGTATGATGTGAGTTTAGATTAACAACATACCCCATATGATAGCTTATAGCAAAGCACCATCAAAGACCAGTTCTATAAAAAATTCTAGCATCTCCTCTGAAAGTAAAACCAATTTATTAAAAAAATTTAGCATAATTCTTCATAAGAGAGTATTTTTATGCTTTTTAGTTCAGTCTTCAAACTTTTAGGTTTAATCATTGTATATCACTCCACAAAAATATCCACCAAATCTTCATTCTATCAAATTGCTTCTCAAACCTTCAAACCCATAAACGATGCTTCTACATTCACTCCTATTATGGTTTCTGTGATCTATAATTAAAGAATTAAGCGCACAGCTTTACAATGTAACATCACAATTTTATCAACATCAAACCCTTCGCAAAGTTCTCAGCCATGTGACAAGAATTTAATGATATCTGGATTTCACAAAAAAAATCCACCAAGAAAGAGTGAAAAAAACAAAAAATTAAGAATAAGATCCAAATTATAGATATCTTTTTTTTCCCAAATATTTCCTAGCTATGATTTGCTCTACTACAGGTTCTTGTCCGAGTCAATTGTTCATGGTAAGATTAACACATATGGTGTCAAAGAAGAAGACCCACGATTTGATTTTCACCACATTGGTGTATTATGTACAAAGGTGATAGTGAGAGTGTGGGTCATCTTTTCCTACATTGTACCATTATACTTTCACTGTAGGATAAATTGTTTTATCTACTTTCACTGTAGGATAAATTGTTTTATCTACTTTCACTATAGGATAAATTGTTTTATCATGTGGGAATTAGTTGGGTGAGACCAAGTACTTTTTCATCTATGTTTTGTTTGGATGTTATGGGTGGAGGAAGCAATAAAAGATGGAGGATTCTTTGGAGTTTTCCTTTTGTTTTTTCCGCCATATGAGTTGTTTGGTTAGAAAGGAATGCAAGAATTTTTTTAAGATAAAAGGGAGGAAATGGAAGGTTTATGGGATCGACAGCTTCATGTGGAGTGTTGTTCTGATTTTTTTCAGTGTTTTTCTTGATCAGCCATTGGTTTTGGACAACTTGTCCACCGTTGACTGATTTTGTACTATTTACACATTTTTTGATCAATGATATTTTCATTCTTTATAAGAAAAAAAAAAGTTTCTTGTCCGNTCAAACTAAAACCCACATAAATACGATCGGGAAGGTTCCAATACCATTGAAAGCTGAAAATTACCTATTCAATTTTATGGGAAATATATTTGCATGCCTATTAATTGTCCATATTGAACTTATGACATATCATAAGTTTCTATGTTATAATAGAATATTTTCTTGACATTAGAATAAATAAGAATTGT